CAACTCTAGTTATGCCACCTGGTCCTGGATAAAGTGCTGTAAATCTTCCCAATAGCCATTTCATTACCGGTAACTGGTTGTCTCTGACAATTACAAAATCTCCCTTTTTAACAGCATACTTGTTAGTGCGCCACTTGACACGCTGTTGTAGTGCAGACAGATATTCTTTGTTCCGTCGATTCCAGAACGCTTGTCGAAGTCTCTCAAGCAATTGATAGCGGTTGACGGAGATCCGCTCGACGATCGGCGACGGCAGTGCAGTTAGCGGTCGCTCGATTAAGAAGTGCCCAGGGGTTAAAGGACGCAAATCTTAGGGATCCGCAGACATCGGTGTCAGCGGACGCGAGTTCAGTATAGATTCAATCTGTGCCAACAATGTACTCAGTTCTTCGAACGTTAAACTAGAGTTACCGACAATACGTTTTAAATGGAATTTAGCCGATTTAACTCCGGCTTCCCAGATCCGACCAAAATTAGGTGAATACGCGGGACTAAATTTAAAAATGATTCCTTCATTGCAGGTAAACTCATTCACGTCACGGTTGTAAGCTTGTAAAAGTTTGCCCAGCTCATTCATTGCTCCCACAAAGTTCTTACCATTGTCGCAGTATATCATGCGCGGTTTTCCGCGACGGGCAATAAAACGTTTGAGGCACATTATAAATGCTGCAGTGCTAAGTGAGTAAGTAAGTGCGGTCGCCTACCACTTCGCAAGTGTGGTAAGTGCTTTCTCTAATTCAACAGTGGTAAGTTCACCCTTTACCTTGTAAGATGAAGACCCACAATTGCTAATAAAACGTAGGACATAAGCAAATACTCTTTGAAGCTTGTAGAGTTTAGAAAACTTATCGAATGGAACTGTATTTTCTTGACCAAGGCGAATGGCCGCTACCCGAAACAAAAATTAAATTTACATTCAATCTACACTGAATATAAATTTAATTTTTGTTTCGGGTAGCGGTGACAACGGGGCATCGCTCTTCGAAGGCCATTCGCCTTCCGGTGTAGTGAGAAAGGGAGGACCGTGCCACCACAACGTGTTGTTTATCAGCTGCTGATGCTTGACTCCTCTTGAGGCCAGGTCTGCAGGATTCATCTCGGTAGGAACGTGACGCCAAGCGTCTCGATCGATAAGTTCACGTACCTCATCTATACAATTACAAACAAACGTCTTTAAAGTTTTAGGCTGGGTTTGAATCCAACCCAGTACAATTTTAGAATCAGACCAAAATATAGAACGAGAAACATCAATACGGAGAGATTTTGTCACTTTAGCGTACAGACGAGCTCCTAGTAGTGCGCCCAGAAGTTCCATACGAGGAATAGTCATCTCCGGCTTCAAGAGCGACTCTTGTCTTGGCGCACAGCAAATTTACGTGAAGTTTTCCAGAAATATCGTGAGACTTTAGATACGGACATGCACCGTATGCATGCTGCGACGCGTCGCACAAAACACGTCGTGGTACTTGTATGTTAGCAATGTAGTGTAAGTTGTGTAAGAATTCTCGCCACGAGTTTCCGACCTCTTCTGGCACTTGTTGGTCCCAATCTAGTTTTAATAACCATAGCCTTTGTAATAATAATTTTGGCGTAACAGTGCACGCTGACAACAAGCCCAGAGGATCGAACACTCGACACGATGCGGACAGAATGTTTCTTTTGGTAATGTTTGGACCAGCTTCCGCACATGCCGAAAACTGCAATTTGTCAGTTTCTGGGTTCCATTTCAAACCCAAAACAGAGGACTCTTTAGAAAAATCTTGCGTTTGACTAATGGTAGGTATATCAGCGAAAATATCTGGAGCATTTGTACGAAACTTTCGCAAATGAAAACAGGCTTCAGATAGTTTGAGAATTACTCCTTGAACAACATTCTTTAGCTCCGATTTATTATTTGAACTAGTACTCAAATCGTCAACATAAAATCCATGTTCTTTTTTTTTTCTAAAAAACCGCCCTTCAGCAATGTGGTAAGAGTCTCCCAGAGCCTCTTCAGGATTCTTGCGTAATGGCATCTTGACAGAAAATCTGCCATCAGGTAAACGAATGGTGTTGTCTATGAAATGGCCTTCACAAAGTTCTTCGTCCTTTGTAAACTTGACTGTAGTGGATAATGGAATGTCCTCTAGTTCCCAAAATCTCGCAATTTTTTGACTAATCTCTTGAGTGAAATTGCACCTAACAGTGTCACTATTAGCAGAGTTAGATCCTGTCGGACCAGCGACAAGCCAGCCGAGTTTGCTCTGTTGTAGTATGGGTTTGTTGCGCCCCAATTTGATTTGATTACAATCCACAATTTCCCAAAAAACGTCTGCTCCCAATAAAACTTGTATTTCAGAGGGACGGTAGAAATTAGGATCAGCGAGAGTCACATTGGAAGGTAAGCTGAGTCGTCAGGTGTCTACCTGTATTCGAATAAAAAAAGTTGAAAATTAAGGTAAATTTTGGTACTTACAAGTTTTGCAATTTGAATTTTTTTGAAATTTGCCCATATCTTATTATTGTGTTGACTCAGGACCTTGATTTTTATACACCTAATGGGGACCATAGACCTCAGTGTCTGGTATAAATTTCAACTTGCTAGGTCTACCCATTCCCGAGAAAATCGGTGGTGACAGACGGACAGACGGACAAGAAAGTGATCTTATAAGGGTTACTTTTTTACCTTTTGAGGTACGGAACCCTAAAAATTATATTATCAGCCTACCGCAGTCCACTGTTGGACATAGACCTCTCCCATTGCACGGCACTTAGATCGATTTTCGGTTTCTCGCATCCAACTCCTGCCAGCTTGCGCAGATCTTCACTCCACCTGGCATGTGGTGTGCTACAATACCTTTGCCCAGACGCGGTCTTCATTCTAGAACATGCATGCTATAACATTTCAAAATTATAGGATTTAGCAGAAAATAATCCTTTTAGTTTTATAGTTAGGTACCCTGAACTAGATATTTACTAGATATTACTAATGAATAAATAATATTAATGCAATAATCCTTTATGTTGTTATTTAAATTATTTCTCTTAGTCTCTTTGATTGTTGTTAGGCTTAAAGAATCTAACACTCTTCCAGTTTAATTTATTATTGTTTTGTGGTTTACCGCCATATCTGCTTGTACAATATGTTCGATTATGTACAGTCAGCAACGAAAGTCGGTTAACAAAACAAAAAAAATTATAAGCTATCCTAATTAGAAATTACTTGATTAATTTATATATATTTGACTATATCAACATTAATTGTGTTATTAATTTTGTTATATACCTGATTAGGAACAAAACGAACTTATTAGGAATAGACGAGTCGTACATCATAGGTTTGGGAGAGATTCTGCGCAAACAAAGTCACGAACGCTTATGTGATATTACCTATCCAAGTATCCCGTAGTTAACAAAATGTAAAAATAATGAATTTTATACTCCACGAAAAGCAGTATTCTTGAAAGTCTCAGGCTCTCTTGAAATATATTCATAAACTTTTATTACTTATTAAACTGTGCGATTAAGACATCTCAATTGCGTGGTTTACGTAGAACAACAGGCGCTAGTGTTGTTAAGCGACTTATGCATGCATTAATTTAAATCAGTTTTAGAAATATGAATTAATCATCAACTTTTGGCGCTAACTGTATTATAGAATTCAAGAAAAAATATCCTAAATAACATAGTATTAAAAATGGGACTTATAATAATACAGCACTATCTAAACCCAAACCTAGCGTGTAAAATAGTTTCCAGAATGTTTTTAGTAATACAAGACGAAAACAGTAGAACGGACTTTCCAATAAATACTTGTGGTTAGTTCTATAACAATATGCGGCTATTTTTATTGATGACTCTGCTCCCCTAGTTAATCCAAATAATGTCCTTAAATGCTGTACCTAATTAAGATGAATCAATACATAATGTGAATCATTTCATGCGATTAAGTTTCTATTTTCATTCTTGTTTACTAGTAGGTATCACTTCTTCAAGTGAAGATGAGGTTATTTAAACCACCCTAACCACTCAGCTATCACCACAGAGATACATACAATTTAATATATAAGCCATCAATAATATTTTATATTTTAGTCGCAATCATAACCCTGTTAAGCGCTATGGTCTATAGTGTCAGATCTAAGAAAAAAATTGATCAAAATGTAACAAAAGCGATTCAAGGAAATATACAGATAACAATACAAGAAAAGAAGTTGAACCTACGGCCAAGGAAAACCATGGAACACATAGAAGATCACTTATACCCAAGTAGTAGCAATTTGGTTCGAGTAGTCACACTAAAAAGAAAATCAAAATCACCACTAGCTAAACTAAACCTGCAAATAAACGAAGCAACCAAAGATATGGGTTCACAGAAAATGAACCTAGATGCTGAGCAGTCCAAGAAACGTAAAGAAACTATAATAACTCAAAAAGGAAATACCAGCTTTTTTATGATGATTCTGACAGCGATTACGATCCTTCCATCTGGACTAACAACGAGTCCAGAACATTTTAAAATAACCCAATTGCCAGACAATCAACCAGTTTACTTTGACCCCATTGGAAATGTTCAACTAATACACGATGAATGGAAGCTTTTAGTATATTACAACCTGACTACATTCTGGCAGAGTACAACAAAAATTGAAAAATACGTCAAGTACCTAACTCAACTATGTGAGACTATTCCACAGGAGCCTTGTAATTCTACAATAAAACAATTACAGTTTGAAATAAACCAGCTAAATGAATACAACGCATTGTTACGGTCTCACCATATTCGAAAGCGACGAGGTTATCTTAACGGAGTTGGAAATCTCGCTCGAACGCTATTTGGTGTTCTCGATAGCGATTTCGCTAATAAATATACCAAAGATATACAAAAAATCCAATCGAACGAACAATATACACTACAGTTGATAAAAAACCAAACACTCATTGTGGAAGCTGAACACAACATCATCAAGAAGAATGAAGAATTTGTAAAAACGCAACTAAAACTAATTAAAACATTCATTATGGAAACCACAAAAAATACAAATTTGAATGAAGTAAGATATCGAACTGTGAAAATAATGAACGAAATTAACGCTGGTGCAATAACAGCCCGATCTCTCATATCTGTACTGAGAAGAAATCAACAAATGCTCCTAGACGCATTGACAGATATCTACAGAGGGCATTTAGATATGAATCTATTTACACCTGAGCAATTATCAAAACACCTCAATTACATTGCCGGCATTATATCAAACAGATTAACTACACATGTAAAAGACAGTATCATAGCAAACATTCGAGATATCTACAAACTTATTTATGTTAAAGCTCGCTTATCTGATCAATACCTTCTATTCGAACTACATATCCCGATACTTAGCCACGACGACTATACGTTGTATAACAATATACCTATAACTAGACAAGTTGCCGCTGATCAATGTCAGGCATTAGGGAAAACAACAAAATACATAGGAGTGAACTTTGTAAAGAATACATATATACAAATGGAAGAGATTGATCTACAACAATGTACAACATTAGAAGATAATAGTTTTGTATGCAACGCCCATACACCTGTACGCAACTTACACAGACCTACAGCATCTTGTGAAGCGAAAATGCTAAGCCAAGAACTGACTAATGTTACATGTGATTTGATAACAACACGATGTTTTGACCAATGGACGAAATTGGAGAGACCAAACATATGGTTATATAATTGTATCAATGAGTGTACGACCCGGATAATATGTGGGAATCAAATTGTACAAACCAGTTTAACAAAAGCGGGGCTTCTTGCTTTAGATCAGGATTGTGCAATACAACAGGAGGACGCAACGATATACTCATACAACGTTTTTAGTAGTAAAACAAAAATCGCTTTAACTTTAGAAGTTCCGACTATTGAATCGCCTAATGATATGTGGAATACTTTCAAAACTTCAAATATTGTATTTTCAACTCTAAATTTATCTGATGAACATAGATTAATAGATGATAAAATAGCAGTACAGAAAGACCGAGAAGTCTTACCGAACGATTTAAGTACTCACGATATCAATAACTACATGATAAGTACTACGTTGACGGGATTAATCGTTCTTGCTATTGTAGTATGGTTAATAAAAAGATGTTTTCCCGGTTGTCAACAGAAAAATACCTAATAAAACCAACAATAAACCAAGACATATTGTACGACAAATATCTTTTTCTACTTCTCTAATAATAATACTGTCCTCTGTAGCCTACTTTTAAAAAAAAGAAGAGTAATTGTGTCAAAATTTGAGGTTCAGATTCTATTACCATGCCATGTTTTTATGCTTATATGCTTTTAATATTATTTATGCACTTTATTAGTTGTGTCATAATTAATAAAACTCAAGCATGCAAATATTACATATAAACTGGTTCGTTTTTCTTTCTCATTAAAGTTGTTTATTTTTATTAATCGCTACGGCGTTTTGTAACGTAATCAAAAACATAAGTTCGTTTCTCAACAATCGTCATAAATACAAGTATAATACTAGTAATTAATATTATGTACATTATTACTCAAAAAACTCCACTGGGTTTTTGCATTTAACGACACAACTTAAGTATATACAAAACAAAACATTCCAATATAACAGTCTATTTAAAAGGTTGTTACTAAAAATGTAAGTTTTGGCTGTTGCTGGTATAACGTTGTGACAAAATAACAACGATGCTGCTAGCAATAATCTCGTTGAGTCCGCCGAGCTTATTGAAGTATTTTGGGCTGATCTATTTCTTCTTGTCCCTTTTGTGTAGAGGAGAGAGCAGCAAGTAAAGCGATACGATGGAGGCAATGCATGTGAATGATTGGATTAGTTTTACTAAAATGCCTCATAGGAGTAGTAGCCGGCAAGGCAACGCTCCGTGTATCGTGCTCGTTAACTGAAGAAAAAAAGGACCTACCTAATACCTAAAGAACTTAGTTATTACTTAGTATTTTGTCTAAATATTACAGTTTTTTAAATTGATTTTTAGTGGCCGAAAGCTGATATGATAAATACTAACTTAGACATCATTTTCAAATAAAGAATTAAACTACCGTGCAAAAATTAACACTCCACGGAATTTTTAATAAAATAAAAAGAAATCCTTTTTTTTTAAACGAGCTCTCGTAGACCCCTGATATCATATAGCACCAAAGTACAAAAAAAGGGAAAAGCTCGATGGGTTTATCGTTTTCAGTTAAGAAGTTTCTACAGCCGTCTTAGGCAGATCTTTTCCATGGTACCATGTTATTATTTTGTCACTGAAGATACATATGTATATCAAATTGACTACTATAAACAATAGACTGCACGGATGGCATAGTGGTTAAAGCGGTCGCCACGCCGCTTCCTACTACGCCGAGTGTTGTGGGTTCAAACCCCACATGGGACGACACTTTGTGTGATCCACAAATTGTTGTTCTGAGTCTGGGTGTTCTGTGTCCGTTTCATGTATGTTTGTAAAGTCCCCCTCGGCACAGGATATACTTCTAATGCGGGAGTTGTCTTTAAAAAAAAAGCGGTGTGGTGTCGTGGGACACCCGATAGGAACGAAGTGTGACGATCGAGTAAAACTGATTCGACACGATTTTAATTACAACGCCATCTATAAAAGCGGCTATTATCTACATATTTTTCAGTTGGTTTCTTATTAAAACAATTCATACATTGGTAAAATCTCCTTGAGAAATGATTTCCTATCTATTCGATAGATGGCGCTGAATGACTGACAAGTGACAATTCAAAATAAATACTGAGATGAAAAATAATGATTTCCTATCTATTCAATAGATGGCGCTGAATGACTGACATAAAAGTGTCGTTACAACTTTTCGTGATAATTTTTTCCGTCTAGCGTCCCTTTCACAACGCGCGATAAGAAACTTCGTTCCAAAACTTCGTTCCAATAATAATAATACCTACTAAAAAAAATTAGTCCAAATAGACATCGGGAAGTGGTTCCAATTTAGCTTCCAAGATTCGCGCCGAACACATACATACCGTTATTGTACCGACACCTATTCATCATCAATGAAACCGACTGCCCTCTGTGCAGGGGATGTCTGGAAGCAGAAGAAACGGCCGTCCACGTAGTCCTGGAATGCGAGGGAGTGGCCACACAACGGGCAAGTATCATTCCTGAGACAAAATCGCTCCTAGAAGCATGTGAACGCCCCAGGAGGCTTCTGCGCTTCTGGAAGGAGCTTGGTTGGCTCACCTAGCTAACCAATCCTCGACGCATAAAGGACCACTCTTAAGTCTAAATGCGGGAACCGAAGCACACAACCAATACCTATACCAAAATACCGTTATTGTAAGTTAAATAAAAGCATGTAAAAAATGGTACGTCTGAACCAAAAATCATAATTTATTAATAAAAGATAAATAACAAAATGTAACAACAACAATTACACCGAAGTAAATTATTTTTATCAAATAATAATTTTACCAATATTACAAAATACAAATACAACTATAACAAAAAAATACTATTATATCAAGAACGGTGACAATAAAAAAAAATTGTCCTTTATTTCTTCCTGGATGGCTGTGGCTTTGAAGATGCGGCGCAGTAAGTTGGCGCTGAACATGGGCACGTTTCTGTCATTTGCAGGCCTGATACCATTTTCTTCATAAACGGATGCACTTCATCACTGAAGAAAGGCCTATAAAAACAACTTTGTCAATATAAGTCAATTGAATCGGGACTTATTCGCGGTAATATTAATAAGATGTGATTCCTTTAATACACCATCGGCACCTATCGGAGATACCGGCATTCTACATTCCCCAATCTGGCTTATTCACCGCCGTTTAAGAGAGTGTTGGAGAATAGGTTTGTGGTTTTCTCCATTCTTATGCTTGAACGCTCTAATATCTGCTGTAACATTTGTTACACAATAGACATTTTCATCGTTATTTTCAGTAGATGTTAATGCAAGGCATGAGTGACTGACCTGCAAAGCATTTCTTCAATTTCTTCTTGATACTCTCGCTGCGCTATTTTGCACTTCTTCCTTTGTTGCATCTCTTCTTCTTCAGCACGCTTCTATTTATTAAAGATATTGTTAAGATTACTATGTATTTTTTACACACACTATGCTGGTAAATTAGATTTTTGATGACCTCTTCGTAGTCTATGAGCAATGGAGGCGCCGCACCACTTCTCTTTTTGTGGGAGTCAAAGCTTCTAGGCGAGGTGGTAGTGGCATATCATATATTCTATCTTAAAATTTTACTATTAAATTTGACTCTGTAAATTCTCAAGAAATCCGGACAAATGCGAGTCGGAGTCGTCCACCAAGGGTTCCGTAAAAAAATGTAGGTTTATATTATAAATAGTTCAGGAATCGATTCTAGCAGTTTATCAGAGCTTTCACGAAATTCATTTTTCCAAAACCTATAATTACTTATATTATTGTGTTTTATAAGTGAAATATACTTCGATGATTCACTACCTACTTTAAATAAAGGCTATATTTTTTATGATTTGATTACAAATGTATAGTTTTCTGATTTTACCATGTACTTGTAGTATACTATGATGTTACTTGTCAAATTTTATAGTTCTAGGTCAACGGAAAGTACCCTATGAATTTTGATTCCCTTGAGAGTGTCTTGTCAGACAGACAGTCAGACGGATGGACGGAATGACAGACAGACAGACAATAAAGTGATCCTATAAGGACTCCGTTTTGTCATTTTGAGGTAAGGAACCCTAAAAAAAAATTATCCTTTGGAACCTATTATATATATATATATATATATATAATACGAATTTTGCAGATTGAAGATATGTTGTATGATGCATCATCAAAAGTATGAATAATATCTTCATTGAGAGTCAACCCCATATCACGGCAACCCAATGACGGCAAACTGAATAATTCTTAGCACTTACTTAAAGCAGTTCACGAAGACACCGTTGGCGAGATGACTCCTCAAGAATTCCTTAAATAGTTTAGTATTTGCCCCTTCCTTAATAAAATATTTTAAATTTCGATAATAATACCTTTAACATCCTGCTGTATTCAACCTGCTTCATGAGGTCACCTTGATGCAATTTTCTAGCCTGGGCACCGGTGAGTTCCTTATGTTTCACCAATTCATCTAGTTGTTTTCGCACTTGGCGATCATATTCCTGATATTCTTCCTCCATCTTTTGCTGTTCTTCACTCTCTTTAACGTGGTCGGCAGACACTTTTCGGTTGTATTTTTGGTTTTCCTAAAACGTTGCAAAAATTATTTCTTCAAAATTACATTCAAAACTAGTCTTGAAAACCACATTTATAGAAAAATTCTAAATATTGTGGAAACCCTCATAATAATAATATTTTAGGGTATCTGGACGTAATTTTCAAAGTCATTCTTCTCATACACTAGAGAAGCAACTCCTGCACGGGAGACTTACAAACATGCATGAAAATGGACACAAAGAACACCCAGACTCGGAACAATAATTTGTGGATCACACAAAGTGTTGTCCTATGTGGAGATCGAACTCACAACAAGCGCAGTAGGAAGCGGCGAGGTGACCGCTTGAACCACTTCGCCATTCGTGTAGTCGATATACTCGTACGACTAACATTTTCGCTATACCTGTGGGAATATTCCCGCGCCTTTGTTTACTACAGTTTCATTAAAAAAATTAAATAATTGGGACACCATTGTAAAATGTCTTACTATTGTGCAGTTCTTTGACCACTTTCGATACTGGCATCTCTTGAGGTCTGCAGCATCTTGGATCTGTTGTCCCAGCTGCAATATCAATGAATCAGCGCATTTTTGCATTGTCTCTGGCGTTTTCTTCATTGGGGCCAGCATTATATTGCACTGATCGAGATCCCTCTGAAATGAAAACAATAAAATTTGTTTAATGTAACTTTTATAAATAGAATTCTAAATTGGTGTCAGTACAATATTTTTTTGGTTAGATTAAGTGCTGGTTGGTGTAAATAGTGAATCATCTATTTATTTTTTAGAAAGACAACACCCGCACTAAGAATATATTACGTATCGCGGGGGACTTTACAAACATACATGAAACGGACACAAAGAACACCCAGACTCAGAACGTCAAGTTGTGGATCACACAGTGTCGTCCCATGTGGGAATCGAACCCACAACACTCAGCGTAGCAGGAAGCGACAGCTTAAGCCTCTACGTCATCCGTCCAGTGCAGTGTATATTTTAAGAGTATGATCATAGCGTAAGTTATGCCCTTTATCTATCTTGTAAAATACAGATTAAAAACTCATTTCAAAGAGTTGCAAATTCACGTGAATCTGGCGTTGTAAAGATGACGATTTAAAGCATATTTCTTTTAGAATTAAAAACATATGTTTTTTTAAATTTTGCACCATATATTATTTGCATTTGCAGGTAGATAGAAATAAAGTGAGAGAGGTCTATGAAAATATTTATAAATCATAATATTTTATACTTACACTTAGAAGGGTGTCTAGTGTGACGTCACAAAACGTCATATTGTATGGAAAGCGTTATCGTGCAGGGATTAGCCAAATATTACATACTACTATTAACATGTAGAAGTGTTTAGAAGTGCGATCAAGATTGAACTTTATTCATACGGAGCGAAAGTTGTTAAATTCAATGACTTAAGAAAATAAGTCAGCTATTCCATTACTATTCATTCTGTGTATTTACATATCAAGGTTTATTTGTTTGAGTAAAATTGCTTTGATTAGTAATTTTATTTCAAAAACTCTTTCTTTCAAAGTTTTATAGCCAAAGGATTTATAACATACCTCCATCTGCTTTCTGCGTTCTAATTTAACCTTTTCTTCAGACGCTCGCATTTGGGCCAGCGAGGTCCACGTTTCTTCTATATTCTTTTCTTGCTCCTTTTGCTTGGCAAGCCACTCTTGTCGTTCTACGGCCATTTTCTTCTTCTCTTCACCAAGTGCCTTGCTTTCTTCGGCACGGTTACGTTTCTCTGTATTTTTTAATCATTTATTTATTAATACCTTCAACGAAGGATATACGCAAGTAAAAGCAATAAATAACTGGAGGGGTATTGAGTTGGTGTACTCCTTCACTTGCAAGAGACCACAGCAAGCGCAATGAAATTATTACATCAACCAAAAGAACAAATGAAAGCTACAAATAAAGGCTTAAAAAGTAACAAAAATAGAATTAAAAAAATAAAAAAATAAAAAAAAGAAGTGTTGGGGCTTACATTACATTAAATTGAAGCTTGTAACGAGACGAATGAGAGTAAGCGCATTTTTTTACGGCATAGGTGGAAAACAAGCAGACGTGTCACCTGATGGTAAGTGAATTATATGCGTACCTACCTAATGTGTTTGTCGATTTTAAATATTGGGTTTTTATGGATTAGTCAGAGTCCCACAATTCCTGTTTTGACAAAAACTATAATTGTAAATAATAATTTAAGGACGCAATCGAGTGACTCACAACTGCTGTGGATTTATATTATTTAGAAACAATAATTGTAAATAATAATTTAAGGACGCAATCGAGTGACTCATAATTGCTGTGGATTTATATTATTTAGGAACAATAATTGTAAATAATAATTTTAGGACGCAATCGAGTGACTCACAACTGCTGTGGATTTATATTATTTAGAAACAATAATTGTAAATAATAATTTTAGGACACCATCGAGTGATTCACAATTACTGTGGATTTATATTATTTAGAAACAATCATTGTAAATAATAATTGTAAGACGAAAAATTAGGATTTTAAACGGCCCGCGAAAGGTAGGTTTGGTGATATCAACCTGAATTTATGTAGATATGTATTTTTATTTTATTTTAAAAAACAAACTGGACTTGGGCCTTTACAAGCATAAATGAAACGGGCACAATCAACATCCGGTCTCCGTACAACAATTTGTGGATCATACAAAGTGTTGTCCCATGCGGGGACCCACAACACTCAGCGGAGTAGGTATACGATTTGCATGATTTCGTTTCATTAATGTACATAATTGCACGAAGTCACGTACTACACTTTGTACAATATTCATTTTAATACCTTCTTCTAGTTCCTTGAAGTAAGCTTCGGTGTCTGCTTTCAACAAGAGCGCTTCTTGTTTTAATATCTCCTGTTCCTGAGCGCGCTTCTGTCGTAACATCTCTACTTGATACTGCGTATATTCATGGGTCTCTCTGTCTCCACGCATACGATTTATCGCATCGTACTCCATGCGAGCGGCCTGTGGGAAGACGAGCTACATTGATGTACATAGCCCTAAATACTTGGCTACTTACTTGTGTCTTGTTACCAGACAGTAGGAAGAATACGATAGCTAATTTCTCTTCCAAAGGGAGACGGTGAATAGGTCGGTAGACGGGTTTGCACCCGAAAATTTATGTTCTACATGAAAAAGGATTATGTTCATTAATTAAAATAAAAAATAATAATAAATTCACGGATCACACACACGCGTTGATGACCAGACTGCTGATGAACATACATGTATATTACTAAATACAAACATATTGTAGTTAAATTACACCCAGACATAGAACAAAGAATCGTGCGCATCACACAACTTATTTGCCCTGGATGGGAATTGGTCGTCTATGAAGAATGTTCAATTTTCTTTCCTAACCTTTCTTTTTACACACACGAGATTAATACAGAGAGGTTTACCAATGCCTCGGCTTCTTTCATAGCAAGATCATGCCACATCTTATCTATCTCCTTCTCCGATTCTTTGCGCATCTGCTTCTCCCGCATCTGGTACAATTGTACATCTCGACTTTCTTTTTTACGTAAAGCGACTAGGCATGGATGTAGGTGTGTGCATTTTTCCCTGAAACCAATTAATCGATGAAAAATAATGGTTTTAATTTCATTCGGCCGATTTTAATGTTAGTTTGTGAATTTGATCACATCAGGAGAAAGTATAATCTGTACAGACGTAGTGGTTCCCTGTACGAGTTACAATAAAATTATACCGGTGCACAATAAAGTGCCAACCCGTCTTGCCAGCGTGGTATAGTAGGCCAAAACCTCATTTCTTAGGAGAAGCCTATGTCCAGCAGTGGACTATTAAAGGCTGTTGTGGTGTGTGTACAATAAAGTTTATTTATGTTCTAAATACATGTTTTCAATTCATAAGTTATTTAATACTGATATATTTAATTTATTTATAGGCATGAACTAAAACATATTTCCGATAGTGTTTTTCTTTCTTTTAAAGAGGGTAACTAAATAGGAACTCATGCAATAAATAAAATGTCAAAATCGGATCACTCTGTAAAGAGTAATATGTTCTTATAAAAATAATTCGTTTTTTTGTAAGTTTAATAATTCGTTTTGGGTTAAATAGCAACAGAAAGCCGTAAGGAATTTAATAAATAAAAATAGTCTTACAGAGGTGTATCAGCCATTTTTTCGTCACGTTCCTTTTGCCTTTTATCTAAGAGGTATGCAAGTCGTTTCATCTTGTCTTCCCAAATCAGATCAGCGCCTGATTGTCCCCGTTTCACGAACGTAGCGACATTATACTCCTCTTCCTGTGCAAAGAGTTTTTTCAGCCTGGAATTGAAGAAGTGACAACATAGCAAAGGCATGCGCTATAAGTGCAAAAAGGATGTACCATTGATAAAGATTAGCTCTCTGAAATCGTCAATGCCACAAAAGTCACGGTATTCTCCGCTATTGAATGACAAGTGGATTTTGGTAGGTTGAAGTAGATAGGCGGCCCAAGTAGCGTTTTAAAGTGATAATAAAAAAATAATAAAATATGCTAACCTCTGTCGCTTCTCTTGGAGATCCTCTTCACGAGAGGCCAAGCATTGATCAACACGATATGCCACTTTGTGAATAACAGCCCTGTTATATAAAAGTATTTAATAAAAGTATCTACATAGCGGGTGTTAGAAAAGTACCGGACCAGCAGAATAATTCGCTAGGGATGCATTTTCCGGAAATACGTTAAATACAAATTCAGTTACAGGAATTTTCTCTGGCTATCAATTGTGTGTGAGTGACCTAGAAATTGACCTATAATTACAGCTTTGAAGGTTATCTCAATGTCACAGGAAGTTTTCAAATGGGATTGCATATTTTCTAGCCCGGAACTGAAAAGAGAAAAAAATATAATAGGATATGACCTTTAATACCCAAATTTTGACCTCTAAAGATTATGGTTAAAAATTATTTTTGCCTGCACGGATGGTGTAGTGGTTTAAGCGGTCGCCACGCCGCTTACTATTGCGCTGAGTGTTGTGGGTTTGATCCCCACATGGGACGAACTTTGTGTGATCCACAAATTGTTTTCCTGAGTCTGGGCGTTCTATGCGTCTGATTCATGTATGCTTGTAAAGTCCCCCGCGACACAGGATATATTCCTAGTACGGGAGTTGTCTTAAAAAAAAGGGAAAAAAAATGTGAATTGGTCAGCAGATCATGTTTAGTCAATTAAGGTCAATATTAGCTTCAAGTGGTTTTGGTAATCAATTAAGATAATCTTATTGATTACAATTATTAATTAAAAAAGCGACCCTTAGAGGTCAAATACCCAATTGTATGAATACCCATACCCAATTGTATGAATGCCGGGCTCAGAAATTTGCAAACCCATTTGAAAATTTCCCTTGACCTTGAAATAACCTTCAGGGTTATGATCAAGGTCAGTAATGGATAGCCAGGGAAAATTCCTGTATACATATATGGCACATATAGGCGCCTTATTTCAGTTCTAGAAAGAGATGATTCTCAAGATGCAAATTGGTGGTACCTTTTTTTAAGGACTTGTTTTCTACAAGAGCATAAGAAGTGGTACAAGAAATTAGCAGCATAGCATACTAAAGGGTCTACTTAGTTGGGCTTTTTTATACTCAGGATACTCCCACGGGTCATTACCGAGACTCATGTTGCAAAGTGGGAATCGAGGCAACTAAAAGCAGAAATCGATTTAAATTTTCATTGAATTTCAATTGAAGATTTAAAATTAGATATTTTTTATGAGATTAGTACTTAAGTTTTAGAGTATTAAGGTATCTTTTTTGGAAAATAATTCTACCAATTTTTTTTTTGTCTCATGTAATAAGCTATAAGCCAAGCTTCTAAGTCTAAACGCCCTTGCACTTCGTTTGGCTCGTCTTGGCGGTGTCACTATCGTGCCCCCAGAATAAAGTGCAAAGGAGAAATTCACAGCAATCACGGAGCTTTTTAGTGGTTTTATGCTTTTAATTTGATTTTTTGTAAGATAATACATAAATCGAAATTTCGAAGTCGCCATGACTGTAGGTTTCATTATGAATTAAGATGTATTATTTTAGTTGAACTTTATTTTACTTTGTATGAGCCCAAAAAATATTGTTTAAATTTAATAGTTTATCAGAATACGAACGCCAAAGTCGATCATTTTATGAAAAACATTAAGGTTGAAGAATGTGACAGGGCTCTTAAATAAAAAAACCGGTCAGGTACGAGTCGAACTCGTGCGTCGAGGGTTCCGTACCTACCCAGATTTTATGTAGATTTTTGCGAAAATTTGTAAGTACCAACATTTTTCTTAATTTTCAACTTTTTTATTTTTTGGCATTATGCCTTTATTTGTGGTGTAAGACGTTACTGTTTGCCAAATTTCGTGATTCTAGGTCAACGGGAACTACCATATAGGTTTTCGACCCAAAACCTATAGGGTACTTCCGGTTGACTTAGAATTGTCAATTTTGGTTTAAAGTTAGGACAAGTAAAGAGATAATTCTGAAAAATAAAAAAAGTTGAAAATTACGGTCAATTTTGGTACTTACAAGTTTTCACGAAAATCGAAATTTGCCAATATCTTTTTATCGTGTTGACTCAGGACCTTGATTTTTATACACCTAATAGGGACCATAGACCTCAGTATCTGGTATAAATTTTAACTTGCCAGGTCTAACCGTTCCTGAGAAAATCGGTGGTGACACACGGACACACGGACAGACGGACATACGGATTAGAAAGTGATCTTATAAGGCTTCCTTTTTTACCTTTTGAGGTACGGAACCCTAAAAACTATCAAAAAATACGTACTTGCGGTCACAGCGATTGAAAAAAGCCAAGAGGTTAGCATCTTTTGCTATCCTCGTAGTATTCTCTAGACCTAGTCGCTGTTCCTCCTCGAGGGCCCTCAGTTTTTTCACAAAACGCCCGTACCGGGCCGTAGAATTCAGCACTCGGGATGTCTGATTAATAGCACTCGTAAATTCATCTTACACTCGTATTATGAATCACATCTATGAATCTTATTAAATGTTAAATTGGTTGATGGTGGTGGTGGTGGTCAAAAACTCAAACAGTACTGCACCGATTGACAGAAATTTGATTTCTAAGAATACAGAATGTCATCACCCCTCTTCATCCCATGGGTATCATAAGAGTCGACTAAGGGAGCAAACTACGCAGAACAACAGCACCGTAAAAAGAAGGAAAACTTGAAATAAACCCTATACCAACCCGTCTGGTATAGTAGGCCAAAACCTCCTTTCTAAGGAGAGGCCCATGTCCAGCTGTAGACTAGTAAAGGTGGTTGATTATTGATAATACTACTCCTTCAAAAATGGCTTTTATCTATTTATAGTGTCAGTTTTGTTCGTCATTGCTTAATAATGTGCCATAGCGATGCGTGACGGTGTACAGCTAGTTAATAATAAACTTTAGACATTTGTATCACCGTTTCGGTAAGACAATTCTAATTCCTGTATAGTGTGATTTAAAACACTTACGTAGTAACAGTCAGGGACCCCACGAGGACCCCATCCATCTTTTGGTATCTTCTGTCGGGGAGGTGGTTCTGTATTGCAATTGTGACTCATTCTTTAAAATAGTCCAAACGAACTTATAAAAATTATCTTATAGGAATTTGTCGCCAATATTTAATTGTAAAAATAAAGTAATAAACAATTAATAAATAATAATTAATAAAGATAACTGAATTGTCAAAAAATAAAACTTTTAATGACATGACAATGAGTGAAATTATATGAAACAGTTTCTAGTCAGAACTATTGAGAACTTAGCCTTTTAAAACACATATATTTATTTATATTTTTCTACATAAATAATGAATAAGAAAATAATTGGTACAATAATAATTTATAATGTAACTATATCTGTCTTATTAAAATATTTAGAAACAAATTAAAATAAATTTTTAAAGCTTTGAGAAATAACGTAAACAGGTAATACGATGGCCCAGAAAAACATGATTTGCAGAACTGTGCGCTTTTCAAGACACTTTCTGCGTCACGCAACCAATCTGTGAAACAAGTTCTCGTCTGTTTTATTTGCGGACCGATACGACCTCCAAACCTTCCAGAGGCCTTACTCAAAGGCCGGCATGACTCCCAATGGGTGGCGGTAGTCCCTTTGCACCAGATGACCCCTCTGCTGGTTTGCCCCCTCTTTAAAAAAAAACCCTGAAAATTTACTACCAATATACGAAACATTACTAAATATTTACACGTATAACTGTAATAAATTTACTGCAATAATATACTTATAAATATTTATATTTCAATTCCATAAGTGTCTATGTTTTACATTTACTAGAAATCGTAGATGAAACCATAGGACGAAGTAATAAATAAAGTTACATACAGATTACGTCGGTTACATGCATCTTGGAAGTACGTACCTAGTATATTACTTTTGATGGAGTCGTAATTAAGAACTAGAACACTGACAACGTAGGTAGGTTAATGAAGATGGGACACTAATAGATCCCGGCACAATGTACTATTTCGTGTGCTTACAATGCTCACTTGGTTCAAGGGAATTCTTATAATTTAGGGTGAAGTGTAGGGGAAAGTGGTGTGGGGGGGGTCTTCTACTCGTCTGTAGATGACCCGAGGTATGTCGGGGCACCAGGGACTTCCTTTCTAGGGTATACCTGGTTCCCCGGCTATTAGTACCCGAGACGGCGTGCGGTTTTAGTCGGTTCGAGTCCGACATGCCACCGACAGGTGGTATCCGAGGGGATTTCCGCACGGAAAAAAAAAGGGGAAAGTGGTGTGCGAAGAGGTAACTCTAAATAAAAATCTGTTAATCAAAAACTATTTTTTATTGGCATGAGTGCTATTGATACAATTATATCAAGTAACAATAATTAAATTTAAAATTTAAATCTTTATAAACAACTCAAAACCCACCCTTGGCCTCAGGCAACATTCACGCGCAGAAGCGATATACTTAAAATAGTTTACACTATGTATCGTATTGTAACGTGTTAAAACTTGCTCGCTTGATCTATCCATGTAGTGACGGATTAGGAATACAGAGTGTCACTCATCCCTCATCGAGGGGACTACCCTATTCATTTCGCGGGTGACGTAAGAGCCGACTAAAGGAACAAAGCAAAACAATAGCACTGCAAAGAGACGGAAAACTTGACACAAACCCTATACCAACCCGTCAGGCTAAAACTTCATCTCTAAGGAGAGGCCCATGTCCAGCAGTGGACTATTAAAGGCTGTTGATGTGATGTGATGATATGAAAACGTGCTTAACAATTTTTTTCAACTACCACTTTGACAGAATTTGAATTAAAAAATCAACTTTTACTACATTGTCTTAGGATCGTTTCATCATCACACTGACACTGTTGCTATCAGTAACCCTGATATAGCGGTGATAGATTGATAAAAAGTTGATTATCGCAAGACAAGAATTATTTATGACAAGTACCTCGTGATAGTTAAAATAATAAGATTTTCACGAAATTTGTCTTCTCACGAAATTGTCGATTCGGTGATTACTGTTTCATCATAGTGGATTGATTCAAAAAACGTCGATCAACACCTGAAGACCACCACCAGAAGTTAAGACGACCTGTATTGATTCCTGTCTTAGAGATGGTCCCAACGATATCTAATCCGCATTAGGGAGCCCTACAGAAAGGGAGCTCTATTACTAGGGCTCTGCAGTCTGTCAGAGAGAGAAGACAGAAAATTTATAGCGTAGTTGTATTGCCGATATAACAAGGAAATAACCAAAATTAATAAAAGATAGTGTCCTTTTAAAAATTCTTTTTTCAATAATCATTTAATAAGGAAGTAGGGTCCTAAAAATAGTGATGTTAAACGTATTTATGTATTTATTTCTTAGATTTATTTTGTTTTTTAGTTAGTATACCGTTGTACTAGTAATTTTAAAAAGTATCATTTAAGTACCAAGTTTGTTATAAATTGAGTGGAACGCCTAAAGACTGCTAGAGCAGTTTGGCGAATGGAGACACTGTAAAACAAATTACTATGTGAAAAAAGTTTATTTAAAAAAAAACTTCATATACAAGCTTATGTGTATATTTAAAAAGAAAAATTACGTCTAAATTTTAACATACTAAGTAAAATTATTAACCAAACATAAGAAACAAATAAAATAAATAAATTAATAATCCTAAATAAAATAAATCCTATCATATTAAATTATAGTTATTCCTACCGCCACACATGGTACCAGCCTAAAGGAAACCCATTACACTATTGGCGTTTTGAGTGACCGAACATAACATGCTACTACTTTTCTTCTTGCTCTGGTGGAGGACGATGGTAGCAGTAATCTGGACCACAACAAGGACAGGGCTCTCTCATCTTGATCCCCGAGGCCATTTGCTTCATAAACGGATGGACTTGGTCGCTGTAGAAAGGCCTAAAGTAGAAAAAGCAAGTTAATCAGTTGTAAATAATTATATACTGAGGATGTTCTGGGCCAAGGTGGTCCGAAGACTTAGTGAAGAAGCCGTTGGATGGCGGACAGCACAGGACCGGTTGTTTTGGCGAACCTTGCGGGCGGCCTGTAGTGGACGTCTTTCTGGGGCATGACACAGCTCTATCTAGACCGAAACTAAGCTTAGCCTGTATTTTAAATTCTGAAACTGAGACAAGCATACTTTTATTCTCATGTTAAAAAAATCTAAATAACATATAAATAATATAAATATAAAAACTTTAAATAAATATACTAAGCGAATACCGAACCATGAACCTAAACCGTGGCAGTCAAATGTTGAGCTTAAATAATAGTATTGATTTAGTAAAACGGCTGTCAAAATTTGCCATGTAAGTTCACCGCTTGTTAACGTCTGAGTGGTTATCTTTTGGTTAATAAGCTCTTTCATTCATCATCAACAGCCTTTAACAGATAAATCATAGAATATAAATCCACATAACATGATTGACAAGCGAGCGAAGCCACGAACAAAGGCTAGTAAATCATCATCATCAACAGCCTTAAACAGTCCACTGCTGGGCAAGTCTAAAGATACTTTGGAGAGACTCATCGTTGGTAACAATCGGTGGCGGTGATTAGAAACAGCTAATCACGTCTTAGGGTGTTAACTTCTTTTGATTTTTTTATGGAAGAGGGGGTAGACGAGCAGACGGGTCACCTAATGGAAAGTGACTACCGCCGCCCAAGAACGCCTGCAGCTCAGGAGTCACAAACGCCTTTTAGGAAGGAGTATGCTTTTTTTCTTGAAGGTTTGAAGGTCGTATTAGTCCGAAAATACCGCAGCCGATAACTTGTTACACAGATTAGCTGTGGGAGGCAAAAAGTTTCTTGAAAATCTCACCGGAGTTGGTACACCGATCCTCCAGGTGATGCGGATGAAAATTTTGCCTAGTTTAGTTTTACCAAGTAATTACGAGTATTTGGGAAGGTTAAGGCCCTCCTCGGAGAATTTGTACCCTCATAGTATGACAACTCTTTGTATATCCGTGATGATGGTTATATAAGACAATATTAACTGTGTTGAACTAACCGCGAGAGCATCTTCTTAATCTCCTCTTGATACTCTTTCATGGCTATTTGACATTTCTTGTTTTCATTCAGCCATTCGTCTTTTGCACGCTCCTGGTACATGTCAAATTACATCAGTATATTTAAAAAATTTCGTATTAGACTAAGACTAGGCATAAAAGCAAAAAAAGGCTATGAAAAAGGAAAAAAAAACGAAAAAGAAAAGCCTGAAAGAAAAGATGTTTGTGTTTTCTGCTTAAATTTCTATTAAAATACCCAATTTTTCATATATTCAATGCATATAAAATCACTTGCCATAATTGACTAATGACTGTAAAGCTGAAAATTTAGCAGCCGATGCTTTTATGATGTAAACACCCACTAAGAAAGGATTTTTAAATATTTCATCCCCTAAAGGGGTAAAATGAGGGATGAATGTTTGTATGGAAGCCGCGGGAAAGCTAGCTAGCTAGATTGCTATATAGTCCTGTATTAGACCAAAACCGGTCACAACCAAGAATTCTTAATTCTTTTATCAAAACAGATTTGAACTGGGACTCGATTTCGTAACTACGACACTTAAGGGATATACAATGATAACAGTATCCTATGTTTACCTTTAAGATCTTATTGTACTCTATCTGTTTAACCAGGTCATTCTGATGAAGTTTCCGTGCCTGGGCGTCTGTCAGTTGCTTATGCTTGACGAGCTGGTCTAGCTGCTTCTTCACCTGACGATTGTATTCATCTCTGGCCTTCGCCTCTTCCTTTTCCTGGACTGCCTCCCTTTTTTCTTTACTTTGTTGTAGTATAGCAGCCTGGTTAGCCTAAGGTGAAAAATGCGTGTTACTGTGTTAGTCACTAATTAGTTATTTGGCTACTACTTTCATCGTATTTTATAAATTGTATTTATAGTTCAATATAATCTTCGAACACCGAGTGGTTACCGAACGGAGGAGTAACTACTAATCCACTTGGATGGACAGATGGTGACCTTCCTTTGTGTCTTCCACCCCATTCATAACGATCCGTTTAGTTCAGTATTGGGCGGTGATAAATTGATGATGATTTTAATGAACAAAATAAGGTAACTGGAAACCCTGCTACATGTTTTTGAACAAGGGAACAGTGAACGATGTAATTAATCTAACTTTCAATCAAGATTTTCCTGATTTTTCTTAAACAATACCTTGTTAGCTTTCTTCGCTCTTAATCGTCGTTGGCAACGCTCCATGTCGACGGCATCCTGCCGTCTCTGCCCCTCTTGTAGAATTAGCGGATCACTATTGAACTTCGTCTGAGCTATACGATTCTTCATTTCCACCATTTTGAAATTACATTCGTCCAAATCCCGCTGTAATATAAAGTTATTTGGTTTATTTCGAATGAAGGTAATGACAAGTAGGGTTCTCGCTTAGAGAAGGTAGGCGCTGATATTTTTTTAATAATCCAAATGTAGTTAAATACAGCATATCTTTTCGACGATCTCGATCGAATAAATTTATAGTTAAACCGCCGTAAGCTTGGCCCTCCTGATGGATTGGGGAACGCGGGGCGGGGTTGCATTCAACCAATTAGCTAGTGCGTCGCTGTCCGCCGGCAGTGACTGGCGTGAAAGTATGGCTGTACGTGTTATTTTTCTTAAGACTGCTACACACGGTATTATTTTGCAACATGGATAATCTGCCGACTCTGCGTCACAAAAAGATTTAAAAGCTTGAAGTTCGGCTTACAGAGGTTCTACTGTTAAAGTTCTAATAAAGAATATTTATTATTTTAAATAATTTTTAAAATTGTATCTGAATATAATTTACATGATGAAGATAATGTGATTTTATTAAAATTATTTTACAGTATTAAATTTTACAATTAATCATAAAAACTTACAATACACTGACATTATAATACATGGAAATAAATTCGATTTTTATTACATCGTGTGTAGATTAAATCTCAAACAAATAAATCTGAAGATATCGAGTTAGTACATCGTGTCATGTATAGCCGAGCGCATCACCGCCCCGCGTCCCGCAAACCATCAGGAGGGCCAAGCTTACGGCGGCGGCAACTATAGGGCCACTTATTATAAATACGAAATTAAGGTAAGTGATTACCGACGACGCGCCGCCCTTGGAAATCTAATACTAAAGAGCCACAACAGCTTACATTACTGGACTTTTAGTTTCCTCCTCCTCCCCCCCCCCCCCCGCGTGGACGCGCAAATAACGCCCGAGATTGCTTTGCCTAGTTGCGTAAAATCAACATTTTTAAAAGTTACCATGAAGTTTCTGTTATCATGAGTGTAAATATTCTCTTAGGTTTCAAGTTATTTAAAAATAATAGGATATAGGTTAGGATAATTAGTTTTTCATCCATACCTACATACTTATATTATAAATGTGAAAGTGCGTTTGTTTGTTTGTTAAGCTTACACACCGAAACCCTAACTCGATTTTAAAAGTTCTCTCACCAATGGAAAGTAACTTTTTACTGCGATAACCGACATACACGCGGTCGGAGCCGCGGGCAACAGCTTGTAAATAATAACGTTGAATAAGTTATAAACCCCAGCTATAGATGGAATAGAAAGTAAGAGAGGGGGCTCCGATATTCTCTTACTTACTCTATAAAATCCAACGAAAGCATTGCTTCAAACGGGTTTTCTGTGATGACAATTAACTCCCTAAACAATTCAACATTGCCTACCTCTTTCTGCCTTCGACGTTCCAATTTAGCTTTCTCATCAGCTAAACCTTGTGTAGCGAGTGAGTCCCACGTGCGATTAACAACATCAGCATCAGCCTGCAATTTGGCGACAGTTTCCTTACGTTCTCTGATCATGTCCAGTTTCTGCTGACCTAATTCATATCTCTCATTCTTTAGTCGAAGTTCCTCTGAAAAGTTAAAATATTAGTTAACAGGTTTACTTTTGAGTACGAAAGCGGGATTGCGTAAGTTTATACCCGACTAATTATAATTTTTGCACCGCCTTACATGATATTTATTTTCAATAACTAGTTTATTTTTATATCTGATCTTATGTATTCAGTGCCGGTGCGAGTGTGGAGCTAAATACCGTACCCTGCATACCCTAAACAAGGGTCCCAAGAATCAGATCGGGTCTACATTTTTGTGTAAAATAAGGGCCTAGCTATGAAAGCTGTTACAAAAATTAGTCAACGTGTTTATTATATATCCATCGGAAGCTGGTTTCCAAGAAGAGCTCAATGGCAAGGTATTTTATAGTCTGTTTAACTTGCTCTGTTCTTAACACCTAATCATCCGCCAAATATCTAAAATGTACAACAAAGAGTCTATACACATACCTTCCTCAGCTTTCCTGTTATCTTCTTCGAACTTTGCCTTCATTTTAAGGAACTCTTGCATTAGCATTTCCTGTTCTTTTGCTCGCTGTACGCGTTTGCTCTCAATCTGTGCTATCGTGTACTCCTTGGCCTCTAAGTCGCGACGATAACGATTTATCACATCGTATTCCATACGAGCGGCCTGAGGAAGTCATTAATTTTTAAAAAGTTGTAAGGATAATTTCTTGGTAGGAAAAATTGTTAGCCAACAGAAGTTTCTCGTCTCTTACTATCTTTCTCTTATTTAAAAAACATCTTCCACACTAGGAATATATCCCGTGTCGCGGGGGACTTTACAAACATTGATAAAAAGTAAACAAACAACACTCAGAATCAGAACATCCCCGCATGGGACAACAATTTGGGGATCACACAGTGTTGTCCCATGCGGGGATCGAAATCACACTACTCAGCGCAGTAGGAATTCAACGTCAACCGTGCAGTTTAATTGGAAAAATAATCATTAGTACAGGTTGACTTATTTAATTCGGCTATACCCATTTACACAATTATTTAAATCTATTCTCACCAGCGCTTCCGTCTCCTTCATCATGACTTCATGCCACAACTTATCCATTTCGTTCTCCGCCAGTTTACGCATCTGTTTTTCTCGCATCTGGTACAGCTGGATCTCCTCAGCTTCTTTAGCTTGTATCTTTCTTATACAAGGTTGAACGTGAGCGCATTTTGATCTGCAAAATGGGACTTTATTACCGTTCTTCGCAGGACTTGCCTGCGTACACAGTAATGCGATTACAGAAGTTGATAAGATGGGGTAGCGACCCCAATCCTTATAACTAGGTGAAATACAATTAAAGAATTTCTTTATTTCTCTGAGGCCGTGGAGTCACTCTGTTCGACCAGACTAGGTTAGCAGGCACGATGCACGATGTTAGGCTAGGGCTCTCCCACGATAGCTTCCTCAAATTTGTATGTATTAAATAAGCCCAACTCGTTATTAATGTTATCGTATTGCATGCCTAAAGGTAGGATGTGGCAGAAAAATTTATTAAAACTGTAACACCTAATTGTAAACCCATGTTCGCAATGAAAATAAACTGATTGATTGATTGAAAAAAATTTTAGCAGCTAATGAATTTTATGTTGTAAACATTTCACCCCTAAGGGTAAATTTCCAAAAATCCGGGTAAGTAATAAAGGAATGAACGATTCCCATCATTTTCCAAGTTAGAAACACATAATACTTATAGGTGTAGAAATGAAGCTACTAACAAGTGAGTATCGTTATATAAATCTTCATGTTCTTTCTTTCTCTTGGCCAGTAGGTACGCCAGACGGTCCACTTTTTCTTTCCACATTAACTCGTAACCAGACTGAACTTGTTCCACTAATTTGTGTAAATTCATTTCTTCTTCAACGCGAAGGAGCTCTTTTAATCTGGCGACGTGATTTAATAACTCTTTTTTTTTTTTTTTTTAAAGACATCTCTCGCAGTAGGAATACATTCCTGTGTCACGGGGGACTTTACAAACATATATGAAACGGACACAAAGAACACCCAGACTCAGAACAACAATTTGTGGATCACACAAAGTGTCGTTCCATGTGGGGTTTGAACCCACAACACTCGGCGCAGGCGCGTGGCGACCGCTTAAACCACTACGCCATCCGTGCAGTCAATACAATAGAAGCATTACAATAGAAAACTTTTATATAAGTTGACAATAATAATAATAATATTTTCAATATATGAATTAGACTTCGATGTCGATTAGTATAAAAGATATTTAATTAGTAATGCACTGTAATCTTTACATATTATTAAAAGGTTGTTTTTTTCTTGTACGCTTAGAGCTTTCAAACTAAGCAACGGATTTTAATGTGGGATTTACGAATAGAGGGCGTGATTCCAGAGGCAGGTTTATATGCATATTACAGTAGAGGAAATCCGAGAAATTCAAAGGTTTGTAATGTGAAGTCGTAAAAAATGTTTTTGTGCGCTAACATTGCAAACGCTGGCTAAACTTTAGATAGATCAAAATTATGTACTACGGAATTAGTGTCTTAAAAAAATCTATAAAAAATCCACAGTGGTATATGTCCATCTCCTAAAGTAACCACTTCAATATCCTAAAGTCCTTCACTCCTAAAGTAACCACAGTAACCATTTCAATATTTTACATATTACAAAAAATAATGGGTAATTTACGAAGCTATTTTGAATAATACAATACTATTTCTTTTTTTTTAATTTAAAAATAAATCCAAATAAATACGTTAGATACGTTGTTCATTTAATGTAGATCAAAATTTCCTTTTACAGCATAATTAATATGACCCGTATGACTTAAGGATGTAGTACTTACGGAATATTAGTCTTTAATCTATTTACCTAAAGTTATTTATTCGTTAGGAAGATAACACAGTATTTACTTGTACAATACGTATAGTTTCTAATTCCAAATCATATTTATATGTTTAGTAACAGAATTACAGAGTTTGTAGAGACATTTATAGAGTTTGAAGGTATCTAAGTATATCTATGTATATATTAGTATATTTAAGTTGTTTTACTTTTGTCTCTTCACAGCAACGTCGTCCTGGTAACCTTGCAAACAATACTCAACACGATTCGCTACCTTGTTAATAAGATTTCTGCAATTTAAAATAAAATATTAATTAATATTAAGTAATTAATGGCTTAGTACACTGCAAGTTAAACGTCCTTATTAAGGTCTTTACTGCCTAAGAAGGAAGCTGAAAATGCAACGCCTTTGGGCGCTCTTAAATCTTGAAAACATGAGCTGCCGATATATTAGTATACGACACAATCATCATCAACAGCCTTTAATAGTCCACTGCTGAACATAGGCCTCTCCTTAGAAAGGAGGTTTTGGCCTACTATACCACGCTGGCCAGACGGGTTGGTATAGGGTTTCCAGATTTCCTTCTTTTTGCAGTGCTGTTGTCCTGTGCAGTTTGTTCCTTTGGTCGGCTCTTACGACACCAACGGGATGAATAGGGGTGGTGACATTCCGTATTCTTAATCCGTCACCACACGGATAACGACACAATATACACATATTGAAAAGTAGTTATCGCTTACTCATATAATTTAAAAAAAAAAAAATCTATGACATACCTTCGATCGCATCGTGAAAAAAATTCGATACACTCATTGTCTTTAGCCCGACTCTTAAAGTTCTCAAGCCCTATTCGAGTGTCCTCTTCAATGGCTCGCAGTTTTTTAATAAAACGTACGTAGTGTCCGGTCGAGTTAAGGACGCGGGACGTCTAAAAACAACGCAAACAACTTGTTTTAACATGATAACGCACCTAAGCTCAAAAACCATCACAGCTCAAAATTGTGAGAAGAACAAGTTTGCTTGGAGCTACAAAATCAGCAAGTAAGCTTCTAATTTTTTTTTTTTTTTTTTTTTTCTTTTTTAAAGGCTTACTAGCAACTGAAATTACTAGTAGTAATTTACTAAAAATAAAAACCGGTCAGGTACGAGTCGAACTCGTGCGCCGAGGGTTCCGTACCTACCCAGATTTTACGTAGGTTTTCGCGAAAATTTGTAAGTCCCAAAATTTATCTTAATTTTCAACTTTTTATTTTTTGGATTTATTCCTTTATTTGTGCTAGAAGACGTTTCTTTTTGCCAAATTTCGTGATTCTAGGTCAACGGGAACTTTTCGACCCAAAACCTATAGGATACGTCCGGTTGACCTAGGTTTGTCAATTTTGCTTAAAAGCAAGGTCTTACAGCACAAGTAAAGAGAAATTTGAAAATTAAGGTAAATTTTGGTACTTCCAAGTTTTCTCTAATATCGAAATCTGCCCTTATCTTTTTATCGTGTTGACTCAGGACCTTGATTTTTATACACCTAATAGGGACCATAGACTTTAGTATATGGTATAAATTTCAACTTGCTAGGTCTACCCGTTCCTGAGAAAATCGGTGGGGACACACGGACAGACGGACAAGAAAGTGATCTTATAAGGGTTCCTTTTTTTCCTTTTGAGGTACGGAACCCTAAAAACCGAGTTGTTATTTTTTTTAACATAGACCCAGAAAGTGAAACAATAAAGTGGAACTTAAATTTGTAGATCACACAAAGTGTCATCTATGTGGGGATCGAACCCACAACACAACGCAGTAAGAATCGGCATGGCGGCAGTTTAAACTATTACGCCATCCGTGCAGTCAATCAAAGACACACAACACAATTGTATTGTGTATTCGTATTATTCCGAGAATACCCCGGACAAGTTGTTTCATTGATTGGTTGTGCTAATGAAAAGCTTCTTGAAAAACGCACAACTGCACAGAGCTAATTTCGTAGTTTGTCCCGCCTGAAGGACTGGATAAGTGACTACCGCCACCCATGGACACCTGTAGCTCAAGAGACACAAATGCATTACTGCCCGTTGATTGTCCTCTCGCTCGCAAATGAGAGGGGGCGAAGGGGGTTTGTTGGGCCTCTGGTAACCAAACTCACTCGCTGAACAACAAAAGAGTTACTTAACACCGGCTTTCTGTGATGCTGTGGCATCACCGTTTTTTTTTACGTTTGGAAACCTCCTCGGGCCGTCACCCTGCCGGGGATTGCGACGGGATGGTGTGTCGGAATCGGACCGACTAAAACCACAAGGTGTGCCACTCTACGCCTGTAATGGGAGGGAACTGCTGTTATTAAGGCATCATCCTAGTCGAGCCGGCCCATTTGTGACATTGGCTGAGAGATACTATAATTATTAATTATATTAATGTACCAGTACAAAACTTACGTAATAACAATCTGGTACACCGCGAGGACCCCACCCATCCTTCGGAGGTTTCGACGCCTTAGTCGGTTGTGTATTACAGTTAGGATTCATTGTTTCCGATGATAATATTTAAAAGAAAATACTTAAAACTCCACACTAGTAAATACAAGTATAAACATAAAAATTACATTGTGTTCAATAGTAAATATTTGATCACATTCCCACTGAGTGAAGTATCCTTGTCAAATGATTTATTTTTAACTTGTTTTATATGTTTCTTTGTCTAGCCAGTCATTTTAGATCTTAAACTGTATAAACTAAAAAGGCCTCTCCTTAGGAAGGAGGTTAAGGATAGGCCTATGTCCAGCAGTGGCATACTAAAGGCTGTTGATGGTGATGATGATTAACTAAAAATATTGTAGCTTTTTGGTACACAACAGACCTATTTCTTAGCGTGCCATGGATTCACTGTGCGGGTCACGCCACGTATGATAGATGGGGCAACGCATGCGACTTGTGCGACTGGGAATTGAGACCTGGGAGCCTACTACGCTCGTGTGCGACTGTGAGTTAGTACTATTACTCTAAACTTATTTCTATGGTATAGCAGACAAAGGGCTTCTGATAACCTTATTTAAATTTTTTATTTATTTATTTATTGTCTCATATAAAATTCATACATGCATAAAGTTATTTATTATATACCACACAAAGCATAGTCCGTGTGGTGACGGATTAAGAATACAAATTGTCACCACCCCAATTCATCCCGTGGGTGTCGTAAGAGCCGACTAAGGGAGCAAACTAAGCAGGACAACAGCACTAGAAAGAGAAGGAAAACTTGAAACAAAGCCTATACCAACCCGTCTGGCCAGCGTGGTATAGTAGGCCAAAACCTCCTTTCTAAGGAGAGGCCTATGTCCAGCAGTGGACTAGTATAGGCTGTTGATGATGATGATGACACAAAGCATCAGGAGTTTATTCGTGGTATACCAGACACATCGCGGTTACAATTCAATTACATGTATATAGTTGAGTATCAGCTAGACGGTAAGTAGTTTATCAGTATAACATTTTTACAATTTTTTTTACAGGTTTCGATAGGTATGTTGTTCATTATGCGGGGCAGCGTGTGTTCCCACGTCCGCGTCCCATATACATTAGTGTGCTTAGGTATTCTATAAGTCGGTAAGTATGATAAGTGACGTAATGACTCCAATCTTATATTTTTCTTCAATTTAGTATATGCTAAATTGAAGAAAAATACACATAATTATTATAATTAAGTAAGTGAGGTTATCAGAGGCGCTTTGTCTGTTATACCATAAAATTAGTATATTAATAACTCAGTCTCACACGCCCGTCTGATCCCAAACCACGCAAAGCGTGCAAACAATAAAAGATCGTACTCATCACACAGTTATTGGTATCGGGTGGGAATCGAACCTGTGACCTCTTGCTCAGCAATCAGGATCATAACTATAGTTAAACCGCCGTAAGCTTGGCCCTCCTGATGGTTTGGGGGACGCGGGGCGGGAGTGCATTCAACCAATTAGCTAGTGCGTCGCTGTCCGCCGGCAGTGACTGACGTGAAAGCATGTTTGTACGTGTTATTTTTCTTAAGACTGCTACACACGGTATTATTTTGCAACATGGATAATCTGCCGACTCTGCGTCACAAAAAGATTTCAAAACTTGAAGTTCGGCTTACAGAGGTTCTACTGTTAAAATTCTAATAAAGAATATTTATTATTTTATTTATTATTTATTTATTTATTTATTCTTTATTGTAAACACTGAACACATACATATATATAAGTAACAAGGAAATGTCATGTACAAAGGCGAGCTTAACCCAAAACTGAGTTTTCTTCCAGCAAACCTTGAGCGAATAGAGGACAACAGAGAAACGTAAGGGCACAGTCATGCGTACGTAGGAATCAACACAGAAAAGCATAAAAATTAAATAAATACCGACATAAATTAGGATAGCAAAATATATTATACGTTTACAAACATATACATATATATATATATATATATATATATACACACATACATACATACATAAATACCAAGGGTCTGATTATTGAAGGGACAGATAATAATCCCTGGTTCTCCTCCTGAACACGCTAGGAGAAGGGCTATTGCGTATTGCACGCGGTAAGGCATTCCATAGTCGAACAGCTGCAACGCTAAAAGAGTTGTCATAACGACTCGAAGTGTGGGAGGGAGTTCGAAGGAGGAGAGAAGAAGAAGAGCGACAAAGATTGTTCCTGGGAATAAAGTGCTCGAAGCGCTCACGGAGATATGAAGGACAAGTGGGGTTGTATAAAGTTGAATAGAGTAAGGAAAGAATATGGAGATCTCGACGCCGCCGAATAGGTAACCAATTTAGCTGTTTCCGAAATTCCGAAACATGATCGAACTTTTTAAGACCAAATATGAAGCGGATACAGAGATTTTGTAACCGTTCTAGCTTACCCCAGAGTTCTTCAGTAGCGTCGAGAAAAGAAACATCAGCATAGTCAAGAAGGGGAAGAAGCAGGGATTGAGAGAGGAGGACTTTAGTCTGAAAAGGAAGAAAATTTTGAAGACGTTTGAGAGAGTGATATGTTCCAAAAACCCTTTTACTCACCTCTGTAATGTGTATTTTTCTCTGTATTTTACTTAATTTTTAAATTGTATCTGAATATAATTTACATGACGAAGATAAGGTGATTATATTAAAATTATTTTACAGTATTAAATTTTACAATTAATCATAAAAACTTACAATACCTACACTGACATTATAATACATGGAAATAAATTCTATTTTTATTACATCGTGTGTAGATTAATTCTCAAACAAATAAATCTGAAGATATCGACTTATTACATCGTGTCATGTATGGCCGAGCGCATCACCCGCCCCGCGTCCCGCAAACCATCAGGAGGGCCAAGCTTACGGCGGTTTAACTATAGTACTCTAACAGCCTAGTCCAACTAGTAGTATAGTATATATGTTGTTTAATAATATCTAACAATGGTCTGTACGGTGAGCGAGTTTTGCCGACCCCAATGTAAGCAAACGGCTACTCCCTTTCGTACTCAATAAAACGCAGTCGTTAAATAAATAAATTTATTACTTGAAAATATTACCTACATTTGTAATTAAATAAAATTAGTAACATGTCATAATAGTACCTCATTCGAAATAAGCTAACATAGCCGTCTCTTAAAAATAAAACATCAACTCAGAAAAAAAACTTCGATAAAACTTTACATAATTTTAAGATTATTTATTAGACAAAAATATAACCTTACTCAAAATATACCTAATATTTTAACGTCATATTTTAGATATCTTAGTATAATTCTAATAACGAAATCTAATCTGAAAATAAACTAATAATATAAAATTATATTTTACTAAGTATAGTAAAATAAAAGTTATAGTATTATCTGACAATAATAGTTAATTATAATTAAATTAGAGCTCGTAATGAGAAGTGCTTGTCTACAAATATTTGTTTTTTTCTTATAAACAGTCGTAATAACATGATCTAATCAATTTTTACATAACAATATTCGGAGTAGATATAGATACATAGAAACATCCAGAGCCCCTGGATCAATACAAACAGACGCTGTACGTAAGCTGCGCGTACGTTTATGTTTCTTGAGGTGCTCCAGTCAGTGTTGTTCCTCTGTTATTGCCTTTCGTATATGTTTACCAAAGTTATCGTCCGAGTCTAAAAGTCTGACTATTATCGCATAAACGGCGCGCGTCAGTCGCACGCGACGAAATTCAACCTCAACAGGCTTACTCTTTAATGTTGAAGCTAATTAATTAAGTTGTGTATTGTGCTACAAGGGCGGCTTGTTAGCCTCTTAGTGCCGTTTTGTTTTCTTGTTAAAATTGTTTTCAAGTCAGAGTTCCAATTTGTTTTAGAGTTTGTTAATTGTTAGAAGGATATAAGCAGTAGTTCGGACATGCACGACAGCGGCACATCTTCAATCCTGACGCCATCTGCTTCATAAATGGGTGCACGTGATCGCTGAAGAATGGTCTACAAAAGGCAATTAAGAAATTACAATAATTGTGTTAATAAAGTCTAATTTGAAAATACCTTTAGACATATTTTATGACACATTCTAGATAAACACTTAAAAGCTAAACGCAAAAGCAAAAGTTTTTTAACCGGTAAAATTAGTCAAAGTGTTTGTGACCGCAAAAATGATGTTTGTTTCAACCTCATCTAACTCAAATGATACACCAACAAAAGATGTGACCTGACATTATTGGTCAATGGCTTAACCTAACCTAATCCAAATGATTCAATAACGGTAGACGGTATCTGATGCAGCAGTCAAAAAGAGTACTGCATAACGCCGGTCAAACATACTTTTAACTGGTTAAGAGTTCTGACCTTAGTAGTATTCCTTAAGCTGAAAGGGTAAACTTTAAATTTTAATTTAAGCTTAATCATGTGTAATTCGCATACACTAACACTCATCCAAAATATAACTTGCAGGAACTAACCTGGACAGCATCTTTTTTATTTCTTCTTGATACTGATCTCTTGCAATTTGGCACTTCTTTTGTTCTAGAATTGCATCTTGTCTCGCTCTTTCCTGTAGTATATAATCAACAAAAATAAAGGATCAAGGTCGAGGTAAGGTCAGCAAAAGAAATGGTAGGAAGAACAGCTTGCTAAACTATTCTATTTTTTTTTAGTTAGCTAGGTTATTCTGATCTGTCGTGAATAACACTCTGCGGTGATATGTGATTACGACAAGTTTTATCAATGCTCATTACACAATTATTTGTCGTGGGTGGGAGTCGTATCCACGATCTCTGGCTTAGCAGTCAGAACCACTAACCACTAGACCACCAGGCCCTTCTAAATTATTTAATTTATTATTTTATTAATTTAAGTTAATAAGGTCATGTACAATAACGTTCATTTATTTATTTAATATTTCCTGTAAAAACATTGCATAAGGCGGACTTAATGAAATAGGCATTTTCTTCCAGTCAACCTTTGGGTGATGCAGAGCTGTGTGTGGCAGGTGTATAATTATCTGCTAATTAACATCTATGAGCGTATTTTACCTTACCTGAAGTACTCTATTGTATTCTATCTGACGCTGAATGTCTTTTTGGTCCAATTTTCGTGCTTGTGAGTCAGTTAATTCCTTATGTTTGACTAACTTTTCTAATTGTTCGGACACTTGCTTATTATAGTCTTCTGTTTCATCACAACGATTTTTTAAGGCGTCTTCTTTCTCTTTTATTTGGTTCTGAATATGGGCACCGATGTCCTGAAATATAATCGGTTATAAAATATGGCCCTCTAAAGATTAAAGCGGGGTCAGACAGCGGGTGCGTAACTGCCGGAGCTATCGGATAACCAAAATAAAAATCTATCCGAATCAGTAACCGATATAAATTTTCGAATAATGTATTTTTAGTATTACTTGTATTAGCTACACTACAATCAAATAGTTATAAGCACTGTCCTAATTAGGTAGAGAGACTCAAATAATAATAATATAATAATAACAATATAATAATAACATATAATGTAACATACAACGCCATCTAGTTTCAAACTAAGCAGAGCTGGTACTATAAAAACTAGATTGACCGATAGGATACTTATTTACCTTTTTGTTGTGAATACATACATATTATACATAGAAATATTTGCAAATCATACAAACGAATCCGACCTGGGTCGAACCCGAGACCTCAGCACAGTTGCATACACTACCACAGCATCAATGAGGCAGTCAGAATATCTCATTTATGAGATTACTTCCTTTGAGATAACTAAGACTTTTTCGGACTTTAAGGAATATTATTAGGAACGTCAACTTACTTGTCAGTTACCGTCTGATTGTTTGCACCCTACGCCATGAAAAAAAAGGTGTACATACCTAGGCCTGTTTTTATCGAAGATAAATTTGGAGTGAAAAGGTGTGTCCATATTTATTTCAACATGCAGGTATGTAAAACCATTGTATTTATTCCGACCATTCCGCTTATAAGGCCATTTTTTAGTAATTTTACTAAAAATAGCATATTGTAATTATTTTATGATAAGTATCTACTGGTTGGAATCTGCCATGCTTCGCTGTGGCACGTTATGGTTGCATTAATGTGGAAATTAGAAACAAAACTGTTTCGAAAAATAAATAAGAACAATATTAGAAGTGGGTTGTATATCGTGTCAAGATTTGAGCTCAGCTCAGAAGTGTGAAGCGTACACAAACCAACGTATGTATATATATATATATTGATAATATAATTTTAACTCTATAACATTACCGTCACAAGCGGTGTTTTTCCATCTGCATGGAAAGATGCCCAAGTAATCCCTCTTCCAAAAAAAGCTAAACCCTCTTCATTTTCTGACTATCGGCCCATATCTATTTTACCTTTCCTATCTAAAGTACTTGAACGCCTCATCCACTCTCAACTGACTAACTTCCTCTCCAAAAATTCTCTACTGAACCCCTTCCAATCCGGATTTCGCCCTGGCCATAGCACTACTTCTGCGCTGGTACACATTACAGACAGCATCAGACTAGGCATGGATAGTGGAAAGATCACAGTTCTCACCTTACTTGATTTTAGCAATGCCTTCAATACTGTGGATTTTCACATTCTGCTTGGTGTACTACGGTCTCTTAACATATCTCCAAGGACAATTGATTGGTTTCATAGTTACCTGTCTGGTCGCCGGCAACGGATTTGCATTGATGACTCCATGTCCTCTTGGTGCAGTATTTCTGCTGGTGTACCGCAGGGTGGCGTTCTATCTCCTTTACTCTTCGCTGTTTTTATAAACTCTATCTCTAATCAACTAAGTTCCTTCTACCACCTTTATGCAGATGATTTGCAAATATATACACAAGCTCCGCTTGACATGTTATCGGATGCATTCAACATAATTAACGCTGACCTTCAACGCATTGGCGAGTGGAGTTATAACTATGGACTTATGATCAATCCTACTAAGACACAGGTGTGTGTTATTGGCAGCCCCAGGCTGATCTCAAAAGTTAACTGGACTCTACTGCCCCAAATTCAGTTCGGTGGCACAACTCTTGAGATAAGCACTACTGTTAAAAATTTAGGGATCTACATAGACAACACCTTATCATGGGGTCCACAGATGCAAGAGGTCAGTCGTAGGATATTTGCTTCAGCCGGTTCTCTTCGAAGACTACGCAAATTCCTTCCAACTGCAACTAGGGTTGCGCTTGCACAAGCACTTCTCCTCCCAATTCTCGACTATGCCGATGTCAGCTATCTGAATCTCACTGAAGCACAACTCGATAAGCTTGAGCGACTACAAAATATGTGTATACGATTCGTATTTGGTTTACGAAAATACGATCACGTCTCTGAATTCCGTCAAATGCTCAAGTGGCTTCCAATTCGCTCTCGCCGGAATACTCATACCCTTATTTTCCTTTATAACATTTTGTTTAATCCCAAAACCCCTTTCTACCTCAAAGAACGATTCAAGTTCCTAAATGACACACACGAAAAATGTCTGCGGTCATCCGTAAGTTTACAACTGGAGATGCCACTGCATTCCACCAAATTTTATGACCAATCCTTCACTGTTGAAGCTGTGCGCTTGTGGAATGCACTGCCGCTTAACATCAGGCAGGCGCAAACATTACATAGATTCAAGAAAATGGTACAGGAATTTTATTCACTTTAGGAGTCCATCACGCTTGAGGGTGTAACGAAACTGTTTCTCTTTTCTATATGTTTATTCATTTAAGAATGCGTATATATATATGTATGTGTATATGTATATTTGCTGGTATAGTATGTAGGTACTTATATATATATAGGTTTATTTATTGTGATATGCATTGTAGATGTAAGTATAAAAATTGTAAATGTCTGTAGATAGTATGATATGTGTAGTATATGTAATATGTATAGTAGATGATGATAAACAAATAGTAGGTTCACATATTCAACTACTACTGTCACTCTGCAACTTTTGATCCATCCTAAGGTTGCCTGGAAGAAATTGCATTTAGCAATAAGGCCGCCCTTTGTACACTCGATATTTGATCGTTGTGTTCCTTTCTTGAAACTCTGTAATTTAGTGTGCAAATAAAGAGTTATCTATCTATCTATCTATCTATTACCTTACTAAGTTTCCGTGTGTAAACACGATATCGACATCGTTTCAGGTCGACCTCGTCTTGTCGCCGTTGGCCTTCTTCAAATATAAGCGGATCACTGATGTTCTTAAACTCTTCTAAATTATTCTTCAATTCTATCATGTGGCGATTACATTCGCCTAGTTCCCTCTGAAACAAACAAAATCAAATCACTCTAAAATTATAAAGTGGAAAGTTTGTAAGTGTGTGTGTTTATATGTTTATTACTTTATTACTCGTGGCGACCATCTGAGTGGGAGTTCTCTCGCTCGATAGTCTGATTGCGGCTATCGTGCGGAGCGAGAGTGCGTGGAACTCTGATGTCTCCTTCTGCGAGCAAGTTATGCTCGCGAAGGAGACGGCGAAGCGGGACCGGGAGAGGTTTAGAACTCTCCCGGCCCCCCAGGCCCGGAAATGGGCCCGGGAACCGCAGGCGACTCAGGCGCCGGAGGTCGCAGAATGACCTCCGTCCTTCATAAGCGCAGGCCTGGGGGTGACAGGTGAGGCCATCTGTCACCCTAGCAGAAGCAGGCCGGGGTGGCGGCGAGCGCGTTGCGAAGCGCGCTCGCTTCCAGGGAGCAGAGGGAACATGTGGTTCCCACACGGGTGGGAGTCGTCTACTCGTCTGTGGATGGCCCGAGGTATGTCGGGGCACCAGGGACTTCCTTTCTAGGGTATACCTGGTTCCCCGGCCATTAGTACCCGAGACGGCGTGCGGTTTTAGTCGAGTCCGACATGCCACCGATAGTACCTTGCAGTACCTCGTGGGACATAAAATTATCATTGGCGCTGATGTCAATGCGTCATCTTCATTATGGTATGGCAAGTTGCGTTCAACCGACACGGTTCGACGTTGTGCGGTTGAAGATTTCATTGCGGAAATGAATCTTACTATTCACAATACCCCCGATGCACCACCAACTTTTTGCAACCCAATGGGTGAGTCTTCTATTGACGTGACGCTTACGCGCGGCGACGTCTCGATATCCGGATGGCGTGTCCTCCCGGACGCATCCTGTAGTGATCACCGCTTGATCGTGTACGAATTCATACCAAGGGTTGCACGGGATCCACAAAGGGCTCCTTTTAATTTTAGATATAAAATTAAATGTGCGAACTGGGCTTTGTTTGGTTCACTATTTGCAACTCATACCAAAGACTTCAGTCGCAGTAGTTCATCAGCTGAGGAAAGCGCAGAAATACTATCAGAAACTTTCACATACTGCGCTGATGTATCTATTGGTCGCGGATCTATCACTAACACTCGTAGATGTGATTGGTGGAATGATAGATTAGTCAAACTACGTAGAAGCTACCGGAAAGCTCGTAGAAAATTAAACAATTTTAAAAAACACAACGTATCAGGAGATTTGTACAATAATGCTCTCATTGCTCTTAGAGTTGCCAGGTCCCACTACAGAGCTGCAGTGGAAAAATCGAAGGGAAACTTAATTCAGAAACTTGTCGATAGACTCGATAGAGAGGGCCCGTGGTCACCTTTGTATCACGAATTTAAGGCAATCGACCTTGCATACATACAGAACATCAAAATTAATAACAGATATACCACAGGAGTAGAAGAAACAGCAGAATATCTTTTAGAATCACTCGTACCTGACGATCAGCCGGAAAACGACACTGATCATCACCGACAGATCAGGCAGTGGGCCATCGAACCACCACTGTCTCCAATGTCTGATTTTCTATCTTCAGACGAATTTCTCGGTATCATTAGATCCTTGCCACTAAACAAGGCTTCGGGCGATGATAAAATATCTAACAAGATGATCAAAGAAGCTTGTAAACTTTCGGGTGACACGATTTTCACTGTCTTTAAACGTTGCATTGCTGAAGGAATATTTCCTCGTATATGGCGGTGCGGTAATATTCGTATAATACCAAAAAGTGGCGACTAGCCACCGGATGATCCTAAATCCTACCGACCAATCACATTGTTACCATCGTCAGGAAAGCTTTTAGAACGTCTTGTAGTGCCCCGGCTTCTGCCAGGTGGAGTCAAATTTCATGATAGACAATTTGGATTTACGTTGGGTAAATCGACAACTGACGCTGTTATATCGGTTAGAAAGTTTGTCACAGAGTCAAAATTTCAATACGTGCTGGCTATTTTCTTAGATATATCTGGCGCCTTTGATAACGCATGGTGGCCCATGCTGTTGCTGAAATTAAAATCACGGTTGTGCTTAAAAAATATTTATTCCCTTATATCTTCGTACTTTTCACAAGGTACTACTAAACTAAGACTTGGTCATCATTCTGTGTCGAAGGCGCTTACAATGGGATGTCCTCAGGGATCGGTGCTAGGTCCATACTTGTGGAATATCGGCTTCGACGATTTTCTTGCGATACCATCCGGATGTACTCTGAACGCGTATGCTGATGACGGCTTATTACTGGTGGAATCTGATACTAGGGCGGGGCTTGAGAGATTAGCCAATAGATGTTTGAACTTGATATCTCAATGGGGTGAACGTAATCGCTTAACTTTTGCACCCAACAAAACCTTCCAGCTACTTTTAAAAGGTAACCTCAAATCACCGCCAAGCATTAGATTTGACAATGTTACTGTAAAAAATAAGGCCTCAGTGTGTTACCTAGGATTAGTTTTAGAAAGAAACTTTTCATTTATCGAACATATTAAAATAGTTAATGAAAAGTCTAAAAAGAGTTTTTGTGCCTTGACTAGGATATCAACTGCGACATGGGGTCTATCATTTAATACATTAAAGATCATATACCGAGCTACTACTTTGGGCGCGCGGGATCGCGGTAAAATTACAAGATTGCTTCAACAGCAGCCCGATGTCTATAATTACCTCATAGACGAATGGCAACAACGCTGGGATGAATCATCCAAGGGGCGCCATCTTTACATGCGACATTGCGACATTGCGACATGGGGTCTATCATTTAATACATTAAAGATCATATACGGAGCTACTTATTTAGGTTCTATGTGCTATGGTGCACCTGTATGGGCCGATAGGGCGACCGTAGGCGCTGTCCGTCGCAAACTGTTACAAGGCCAACGACTTGCACTGATATTTTTGTGCAAGGCATATAGGACGGTTAGCACTGAGGCTTTGCCGGTGTTGGCGGGTGTGCTTCCGGTCGATCTCGAGGTGCAGAGACGCCATGTACTATTCAAGACAAAACATGGAATGCGATTTCTTGGGCGCGCGGGATCGCGGTAAAATTACAAGATTGCTTCAACAGCAGTCCGATGTCTATAATGACCTCATAGACGAATGGCAGCAACGCTGGGACGATTCATCCAAGGGGCGCCATCTTTACCAATTTTTTCCATCTGTTCGCGAACGGTTGTCGAGGACATGGCTTGAGGTGGATCACTGTGTCGCTCAATTTCTTACGGGTCATGGTAACTTTAAGAGCAAGTTGTATTCATTTAAATTAGTCGAGTCACCATTGTGTCAATGCTCAACACCTAACTCTCATTATGAACAGTCTGCTCATCATATCCTCTGGGAATGTAGTCTTTGGTATAATGAACGTAATAAAATGCTGAATAGCTTGCAGGTGACATCTGGGGCGGTATACTATGGGGATCTTGTGTCAACTAGGGTGAATTTCCGTGCGTTTAGGCGATTCTGCCATACATATTATAGAAATCAAATATAGCTCATGTAGGACCCGTAATATTTTGTGGCCGTGGTGCTTCCCTGTTTAAAAGGGTGTATGCCTATTTTACTTCATTTTGTCTCCCGCTTTGCTAAGGAGGGAAGTGGATTTACTGTATTTCCAACTCCTCCAATTTTCTTAGGTTCCAAGACAGTTTAATTTCTTCCTGGGACTTCCCGAGTGTCATAACTCGGTGTGTTCGTGGGTCACTGCTGTGGATCCTGGTGTACAGGAGTTACAGTGGTGGGCGTGTGGGTGGGACTAGTCCCAATAAAAAAATAAATAAAAAAAAATGCCACCGATAGGTGGTATCCGAGGGGATTTCCGCACGGAAAAAAAAAGGTATAGTTACAATTAAATCTAATGTCAAGATTTCAACAGGTATAAGCTAAAAAAACTTTCACGAGTTGACAGGACGCCGCAGTATCGCCTATATATAGAATAATAGTGCTATTATGGACTAGCTTCTGAACGCATCTTAACTCGCGTCTATGACGATTTTTTCATTCAATTCAAGTATTCCATTAGAAATAGTAGGTTCTTTCTGGTAAAAAGTATGTTTGTGTATCAATGTTGCTTTTGTACTCCATGATTACCAGCTTAGTAATTAAGGCGTGAAAACATAACAAAAAAAAATAGTTCGCATTTATAAAATTTGTTAGGATCATTCCCAAACTATCCGAAATGTTTTACAATTTACCATTTCAGAATTCAGTGGTTTATTTTTTCAGAATGTATTTTTTTTTTTCAGTTAAAACATATTATCTTACCAGTTTTCGTCTCCTTCGTTGCTCTTTAGCATTTTCATTAGCCAAACCTTGACCTGCGAGGGAGTCCCATGTACTTGAAATGACCCGTGCGTCTTCTTTTCTCTGAGCGAGAACTTTCTTACGGTCTTCCATCACATTATTTATTTCTCTAACCACCTCTCGCTTATACTCTTGGCGCTGCCGTTCCTCTAGAAAGCAAATTACATATTTTTCAAGTTTATTGTGAAAAAGTAGAAAGTATTGGTCCGTGTGGTGACGGATTAAGAATACAGAGTGTCACTACCCCTACTCATCCCGTGGGTGTCGTAAGAGTCGACTAAGGGAAAAAACTACGCAGAACAACAGCACTGCAGAGAGAGGGAAAACTTGACACAAACCCTATACCAACCCGTCTGGCCAGCGTGGTATAGTAGGCCAAAACCTCCTTTCCATTGCTGGACACAAGCCTCTCCCTAGAAAGGAGTGTCCAGCAATGGACTGTTAAAGGCTGTTGATGATTGATGATGATGATTATGAAAAAGATTCAAGTCCACTCATAGGTGTTCTTCATTAAGGAGATTCAGTACCTAAACTCAACATAGTTAAGAGCCTAGATAATCGTTCATTTCGTCGTTTCGTTCGTGCTAAAGCAAATAATAAGTAAAAGAGAAAAGACTTAGGGATCCACCTTCTGCAGCTTTTCTATTGTCATCTTCGAACTTCGCCTTCAATCTAAGGGTTTCTTGCTTCAACATTTCTTGTTCCTTAGCTCGCTTTAAACGCCGTTGTTCTATTATGTCAAGTGAGAGCTGTTTTGCTTCCTGGTCTCGACGATAACGTTCGACAGTCTCATACTCCGCGCGGGCAGCCTTGAAAAAAAAGGGGGAACATTAACTGTCTCTATTTTTTTAACCTTTAGCATAAGTTCGTCTCACTCTTGCTTGTTTTGTGGCACTGATCTATACCCACTCGCTGATCTTTAGTAATGACATTTAATGTAGTGCTATAAAGTTACTTTGTTGTTATAATAAACGTGGGTGAGTCATGCACAATGGGCTGGCTCGACCAGAGTGATACCATAAACCTGTTGGTCTAGTTGTTACTGACCCTAACTGCTAAGCAAAAGTGGTAGGTTCGATTCCTACTCAAGCCAAGTAATTGTGTGATGATCACGATCGTTTATTCTGTGCCTGGATGTAATTTGTCTAAAATATGTACGTATTTAGAAATACATAAGTATGTTTATCGGCAGTCTGGTTACCATAGTACAGGCTCTGCATAACTCTGCATGCAAACTGGTGTTAAGCAATTCTTTTGGTGCTTTTCACTGATTGAGTGAGGTTACCGAGGGTCCGAGCTCGCTTATTCTAAGTTAAAAGGTACTATTTTAGATTCCGTGAGTGAGTGAGTATTCAAAAATAGTACCGAATACCAAAAAAAAAACAAGTCTGTATAAAAATATTTCCTTGTAGTATATTCTTACTAGTGCTTCAGATTCTTTCATCACGACTTCATACCACATCTTGTCCATTTCTTTCTGAGCCAGCTTACGCATCTGCTTCTCTCGCATCTGGTACAGTTGAATCTCCTCAGCCTCTTCTTATTTTGTATATGCACGGGAGTACGTGTGCAGATTTGGACCTGAACGTTTGGCAATAGAAACATTTGAAAAGAACAAAATAATAATCTTAAAAATACTACTGGTAAACTTAATAATTAGTATATCTCGAATTGTACAAAAAATTCTGAAGGTTGTCTTCCATGCAAACATCCAGGCAGAACAGACAGCTTGCTATTTGCTACTATCCTTCCATCCGTCCTTCACAAAGTTCCTCTATTATCTATAAATCTTTCACAAGGCTCCCGATTTCGGGTACTTCTATTCTTTCTTCAAAACGTTGATTAATAAAATATAAAACCTTTGACTTAAAAGTTGACGGTCAAAGGTTGACGTTGGTCATGCTGTGGTACGAATTGCCGGTAGCCAAATCGTAAGCCTGTCCAGCATCAGAATGATAAAAATCTTTGCAGATCGTTCACTTACATAGCCTTGTGCTTTAAAGTCTTAAAGGTTTCCACTGCAATTAGCAAATATCGAATTATTGTCAATTTGATATTCGCTATTTCACATCAATACGGCAAATACTTTGAAGTGTTAGGTGCCATGAGGTTTTAGTTGCCGCATGCCGTGCTGTTGTCGTTGGGATTCACAAAGAAGAGTAAAAGAGCAACGAGTACAAGAATTGGCAACACGTGATATTTATGAATTCTCAGAAAATGTGTATGATGAAAGCGTAGTCAGTAGAGGAATGTACATGCTTACCGGATGTTAGAGCTTTCAGAACCTGCTACATAAGTAATCAAAACTTACAAAGGCGTATCTTGATATTTCTCTTCATGCTCTTTCTTTCTTTTAGCGATAAGGTAATTGAGACGATCCATTTTAGCGTTCCATGCTAACTCGTAACCCGCTTGAACAGATTCTACCAACAGTCGTATGTTCCTTTCCTCTTCTGCTGAGAGAACTTCGAACAACCTTAAAACAATAATGGAAAGTCTTTTCCTTCGAGCCTTTTTCCCAAACTGGGTAGGCTATAAGGCGTTGAGTCTACTACGATATAATTAAACGTCGATTTTTTAGAAAGACGGTTGTCGAACTTTTTAGTGTTTCACTTAAAAGTAGCGATTACCAAAGGTGTTCGTATGGCATCCGTGACCGATGGCTTGTCGTGCTCTCTGATAAGTAGATGCGACGAAATGGCAGTCAGTGTAAATATTTATTAAGTTAGAGGATTATTGTAATAGCAAATTAAGATGAGAGACGATAAGAATATGTCGTGAATACAAAACTTTTGAAGTATGTAATTTTCTATTTTCAAAATTGATTATTTTTCCTAAAATTTAAGATCACGGAAAGTTTTAATATTGCTGTCAACTGTCCTCTTTTATTTATTTTGTAATCATCATATCAATATTAAAGGCGAATGAAATGATAACAGGCATAACCCTTAATAGTAAAAGTACATTATGACACATCAGGCCTTTTCGTCTAGTGGTTAGAGATCCGGACTGCTGTGCCAAAGGGCGTGACTTCGAATCAAACCAGGACAAATAATTGTGTGATGAGCACGATTAGTGGGTTTGGAAAATTGAGTGTAGTTAATTTGTATTATTCTTATGATATACAAATTAATTACACACAATTTTTAGAAATGCATAAGTAAGTTTATCAGCAGTCTGTTTAACACAGTACAGAGCTTGCCTATATAGTTTAGAAAATTGAGTGTAATTAATTTGTATTATATGATATATAATTTACAAATTAATTACACACAATTTTTAGAAATGCATAAGTAAGTTTATGAGCAGTCTGTTTAACACAGTACAGAGCTTGCCTAGTTTAGAATCGACGGCCGTGTGTAATCTGTGTTGACAGTGGCCCCTTAGCCCTTGGCCCCTGGCTTACTACGTATGTCTTTAGGAGAAAAATACCTACTTATACCTATTAGATATCATGATGATAGTTGAAAGTACTCACTTCTGTTTTCTTTCTTTCAAATAATCTTGATATGCTTGCATACAACAGGCGACACGTATGGATGTTCTATTAATAAGTCTTCTGTAGTAATGAGGGATACATAATGAATTGGATGTAATTTACATTTATAATTGTACATAGGTTAAATAATATTTAATAGAATAAAAAAGAAGATATTTACAAGTTGATAAAGGGGGCCAAATCTTTACTCAAAAGATGTCTACACGATTCATCATTATCATCAACAGCATGTAATAGTCTACCGCTGAACATAGGCCTCTCCTTATAAAGGAAAGTGTGGCCTACCAAACCACGCTGGCTACGGGTTGGTTTAGTTCAAGTTTACCTTCTGTTTACAGTGTTGTGGTTTTCTATATTAAACGTAATACTCCCTTAGTCGGTTCTTACGATACCCACGGACGAATAGGGGTGGTGACACTCTGTATTCTTAATCAGTCACCACTCGTACAAGAACTATACTCCTGGGAGCTAATGCAGTTCTAGGGTGGCTTTGGTGAGGATCCTGTCACAACAAAATGTGTCAAGGTCGGACTAACCGGCGATCACAACGTATAAAGAACTCTTGTTGACAATTCTCCTTGCTTTCTATTTTCTCACGTATGTCTTTTATGCGATCATCTTCTTCCTGCTGGCGAAGTTTCTTTACGAATTGCACGTAAAGGAATGTAGAGTTCAGCACACGTGATGTCTGTAATTATATTAGCATTGAAAATAACATAAAATAGATTTAATGCGTAAAGAAAATGCTTTGTCCCCTGTTCTAGACAAATGTGGAGAATGAAAACATACCATAATTGGAACACCTACCCAAGGTTTAAATGTTATGGAAGTGCAGTAAGTAAAAAAAATGCGAAAAACTATATGAGGCATAAAATTAAAATCTATATAAAACGGTCTACATAAATTATAGAGGTCCAGCAAATGTTTTGATCTAACACGATTTAAGTCTCCACCTAATTCAAATAAGCCTTTCTATATCTGTATATGTGTAATTACGAGTAATAACGTCCCCGCCACTTCTGTCTGAGTAAATTTTGATACAACACTATGTATAATTATGTATGTTTTTACAGAAAAAAAAGTATTCAAGTATTTTATTAGTCAATCTACGTTTAATATGGCAAGCTCTACTTAGTTTAAAACTAGATGGCGTTATATGTTAGACTGCCGAAAATATTATTATTATATTTTTCACTAGTATAATAAAATACAATTTATATAAAAGACAAATTGTGCATTCATTTGTATAAATTTGTTAAAATATCACGGGGATTGTTGAAGGCGTAGGAAAATATCATACCGAACTTGTGGAGGAACAGGTTTCATATTCCCCCAACACAAAGGACCAAAGGACCCCTCGTTTATCATTGAAAATGCATGGCGAAACGGAGGTACAGCATTCAAGCGAATGCTTTTGGTGGTATAAAGCTCACAAAACCTTTTCATTCTAGTACCTCTTCTACATGACATTAAACACAAATATAATTTACATAATAGCAGTCCGGAACACCACGAGGTCCAAATCCATCTTTGGGTACTTTAGGAGGCTGTCTTCTTACATAGCCTGAATTCATTTCCTTAATTATATTTTGTGATGTTTCTCCACAACGTATAATATTTAAGTAATATTAAAAATAAATAACTTTGGTAATGTTGATTTTACGTTACAAAGCGCAATGACAATGTGTGTTTGTCAAGGTTGTTTACGGTCTAGAATCAAATGTTTTCAATTGTTTTTTTTTAATTAACGAAACTGACAGTGAGTATAGATTTAAAAACTTCAACTTGCTCTTTGTAGAAAGTATTTGATGTTTCTTGTCCAATGAGCATTGTTATAATATATGGTGTTGTTCAAAAGTCCAAAAGTTATAATAATAAACGAAGAAACGTAACCTTTTTCGTTCAGGCTCCAATGCGACTTTAAAACGGCAACTATTAACACTAGTATCTCGGGCGATTTTTTTGCACATTATTCATTATATTTTCATTAGGTACTATTATTGTTATCATACAGGAGTACTCTGACCCACGTTGATCTATAAAACCAACCAGGTGTAAACTAGAAAGGAAATCCCTGGTACCCTGACGGATTTGTTAACCACCTCGGTTTGTTATTTAGCGTTCATGGGTTTTTTACAGTGATGTAGTGACAATTCACTAGTGTTTTAGTTTAAAAAAGACAACTCCCGCAATAGGAATATATCCTGTCGCGGGGTACTTTACAAACATACGTGAAACGGACACAAAGACCACCCAGACTCGGAACAATTTGTGGATCACACAAAGTGTTCTTCTATGCGGGGATCGAACCCACAACACACAGCGCAGTAGAAAGCGGCGAGGTGACCGCTTAAACCACTACGCCATCCGCCGCATTATAAGGGCGGGGGTCGGGGGCGGGGGGGAGACTCCCCAGTGCATTTCCGCGCTTTGAGTTTCTCTGAGAGTCTCTTTGAGAGTTTGGGTTCCGGTAACTCCACTTACTCGGTGGAAAGCAATGAAAGTCATGCTTAACATCGGTTTTCTGTGAGGCCGTGGTACTCCGGTCGAGGCTGGCCCAATTGTGACGAAGTATGGTTTTTCTACTGTGATAGCACTACAATCACGTAATTATAAAACTGCATATTAATGTTCTTTTTTGACAATATATATTAGAAGGATGTTCACAGGTGCATTAAAAGTCTAGACGAACAAAAAGCCGAATGTAATAAAAATGACACCTTTATAATCTCAAGCATTGCTAATTGAGGCTCGGGTCATTATAAACATAAGATTCGTTGCGTTTCTTACGGACAATATCTTAAAAAGGATCGGTCTCCGTAGCCAGCAAAAACTGAAGTTGGCACATCTGCTAAATAAGTGTGGGAAAGTGCCTCTAGGGAGGATTTCCTTAGAAGCAATAATGGAGAGAACAGGGCAGGTGGTCTTGAAGCGTAGAACGGGGCAGTCGGTCTTAGCAGCTGGGAGGTGGAAGTTGATCGTCAAAGCTGAACGTGCTCGGTCGCGCGGTTAAGCTAGATTGACTAAGTTAAATATATAGAACGCTGAGGATACCTAGGTGAGTCTTTATTGTTCATTATGTTTGTAGGATTACTATATTATGTGTATTTATACTCCGGCCTGAGTAACGATAGGTGATAGGGTGATTAATGACTCTACTGGTGTGTTGAATCGATTTATAACTGAGGCGAGACGACCACCTTGGTTGATCAGATCATCCAGGCCGCGGTCATTGCTAAACGATTGTCCTTCGGTCATTGTGGTGTATTTATGAGGCAGTTAGTGTAAGTTGAGTGAGTGCCGTGTGCTTGAGTGGAGGGTGTTTTGATCGACTTGTCCTGGTGGTCGGCTTACGGGAAAGCGCTGATACTGTTGATGCTCTGGTGGAAATCGAGCGGTCCGAGTCCGCCGTCGGCGCACGCGATGTGTCCGGTAGCATAGGGGCTAATGCAACAACAGAAGAGCTGTATTCACGTGTCTGGCATTGACCATTCAGTTTAAAAAGTTGATTGACTCACTCTAAGCTTAGCTTAATAAGCACTACCAATAATAATGTATGTAATTATTTCTAAAACCCCTAACGTTGATTCCCTCTTTTGCGGTTTCTTGTTGTTTATTCGAACGTTAAAAAAGCCAGTAGGAAAATGTCCAGTCAGGGTCGATCTTCCAGCCTAACGCAGAATAAGGAGGGGCGTTAAACCTCTTCACAGGAAGCGGAGCTCGCTACTATTTGTTTAATAGTTGAAAACTGATTTACTCAGACTACGGTTATTGAGGTATCACACATACATGATGTGATGTGAAGAAAATACCTCTACAGTCAACTTGAAATGTTTTGTATTCTTAAAGGCTTCTGAGCAGTTTTTGCGCAATGCATTGAATATGAAGAAAAACACAAATACCAGAAAAGTTTAATGTGTGCAGAGAAATAAAAACTAATACTACACTTATACGTAAACATAAAATTAAACTTAATTATTTGCTTTTCTTATGTACCTTCCTTATTGCTACACACTAAACACTAGATTTAAAATAATTATAATACTAGCTGCACCCTGCCATACTTCGCTGTGGCACATTGAATTTACATTGATGACAAATTATAAACAAAATTAAGGCGAAAAATAGTTAAATAAGTACAATCCTTCAAGCGGTTTATTTATCATATTAAAATTTGAGCTCAATCGGTGAACTTTTCGAGTTTTTGAAGCGTATACAAACCAACTTAACATTTTATATAAATATATATATATACTTAAAGACTACAGAAGATCTTATCGTCAGTATCACTTACACAAGCATTATTCACTAAAAACAAAAAATAAGGTATTGAAATAAAACAATCAAATTTTATTACTAAAAACCTAATAGAAATAGGTCTAAAGATGTTTGAGTAACATCAGTATTCTATCAAATAATAAAATGCCGATAATTCTCCATAATATTAAGGGGTTTTGGCCGTTTGCAAATTTGTATAACGTCTTGTTTAACGAGTCTTTATTTGAGTTGTTGACAAAAGCTGACGCTTTTTTTTATTAATATCATCATCATCATCATCAACAGCCTTTAACAGTCCTCTGCTGGACATAAGCCTCTCCTTAGAAAGGAGGTTTTGCCTACTATACCACCCTGGCCAGACGTTTTCCTTCTCTCTGCAGTGCTGTTGTTCTGCGTAGTTTTTTTCCTTAGTCGGCTCCTACGACACCCACGGGATGAATAGGGGTGGTGACACTCTGTATTCTTAATCCGCCACCACACGGATTTAATTTTTATTAATATACGAATGTAAAATTTGTTACTGAAAATCAATTCACTTTTTTTTATTCACTATAGCGTTTTGTTTGTAAATTAGCAAAGAACTATCAGCTTAATCTAACTATCAGTCGCAAGTACTCCTTAAACTTACTCCTGGGTCCCAAGTGCTGTCGCAGTCGCATGTGTTGCCCCCATCTATCACGCGATGCACCGCCACGGTGAATCCACGAAAAGCTAAGAAATAGACTCATCGAAAATTTTCAGCTACATTTATCTGCTTTTAAAATATATAAACTAGACCACCTCTAATCTTAAAAAATATTAGATAATATTCTAGAAGGTCCACTGCGACATGTTTGCTTGGTCTTCAGAGCTGGATCCGCATATTTGGACGAGGTTTGTGCATGTTTCATGAACGGATGGCCATTGCCGCCCTTTGACCTGAAATAAACAAATATTTTTACTATACCAACCCGTCTGGCCAGCGTGGTACAGTAGGCCAAAACCTCCGTTCTAAGGAGAGGCCTATGTCCAGCAGTTGACTATTAAATGCTGTTGATGATGAAACAAATATTTTTGAGTAGCTATTAAGTTAGTTGTTAATCTTGTTTACATTCTAAATGCGATATGATTCATGAAGGTTGGAGGCAATCCCCCCACCCTCTTGTAGAGTTGTGCCCCCCCCCCACAATTCTACAGGTAGGGGGGGGTTGCTTCTTAACCTCATTCATTCGGTGAATTGTAACGAATTATGATTTGTGCGGTCACAGTGTGCGAGGTGCCTATTTGAGATGCAAGAAAATGAGAAAAAAAAATACTAAAATAAAACACAAAACACACAAATATTCAATGCGCCTAATATCGTGATACAGCAATAGGCAGTTTATCAAAATATTAGGCGCACTGCAGTTCTTCATCCCTTTATTTTCACAACAACTTTTGCGTTTAATTTCGAGGATTTTAAAGCACTTACCGACAGAGCATTATCTGTTCTTGATATTCTTTAGCCGCAATCTGACTCTTCCTAAGTTGCTCTTCAGCCTCCTGTCTTGCCCGCTCCTATTCAGGTTATAAATTTTTCAAGTAATTGCAAATATTACCTCATAATTGAAGTTTAGTTGGTTCATATTAGGTTCATGCTAGAAACTACCCCTGGACGCAGAATTTAGGATATAATAAATATGAGAAGAGACATTTCACAAAATTGAGCATACAGTCAAGTTGTGTTAGGCGATATGTTTGAAGAACTATACTCGTACAACAAACATCACCCATGACTTGATAAGAAAGTGTGATAGACTATCAAACGACGATTAGAACCAACTCTTAATTGGTTTTAGCAATAACAATATAATGTTCAAAATTTATCAATACAGACCTCAAATCGGATAATAACGTCGACCTTGATACGGTTAAATAAAAAATTTAAAGTACAGAACTGAAGCCTTCTAGGCAAGCGAGTAAACTGCGGCTGTTTTTTTTTGCAGTTACATTTGACTAATCTATTTAAAACACTGAAATCTATGAAAGCGGCCATATCTTGTGTACAAATCATCATCATCAGTACTTACATTTATATGTACGTGAGGATGTATATCAAAGACATACGCTGGTACCAAGATACCTTCAATACCTAATTAAAATTGATCATAATATATATAGATATATTAAAATACTGTTAGTGTTCCGAACCTTCAACCGCTTGTGATACTCGATCTGTCCAAGCAGGTCTTTATAGAAGAGCTTCTTAGCTTGTTCATCGGTTAGTTCTTTATGTTTCACTAGTTTTTCTAGCTGATCAGATACCTGACGTGTGTATTCTAAAGTTACATCGTGTTGGTTAAGGCAAACTCTTTCTTTTTCTTTTATTTGCTCTGCAATAGCTGCTCTGGTTTCCTGAGACGGAAATAATGAAATAGGACAGGTGACTTAAGGTAGATAGAGTAAAACTAAGAAATTACCATTTAGGAGTATTTTTATCATCGTCAGTTTAATAATCATTTAAAAATAACCACACACACGGTCGTCTGATCCCAAACTAGGCGTAGCCTGTACTGTGGTAACCAGACTTCTGATAAATTTATTTATTTATTACTAAACACACTTACAAAAAAACAAACGATGCTTATCACACATTATTTTTTATGAGTGGGAATCTAACCCACTACCACCACTACACCACGATCACTAGCCACTAGACCACCAGGCCAGTCAACTAGTCATCAACTCTCGAATAAAACTTACCAACTCAATTTTACGCGAAAGCTCACTCATCTGATTACGCTTGTCGTAAGCAGCGTCTTCTCGCCGCTCATACTCTTCTAGTATGAGTGGTATATTGTCGTCTTTTTGTTTCGCAAGGCGATGCTTTTGCTCTGATAACTTGAGGTTACATTCAGCTATTTCTCGCTGCGAAAAAGAACGAGATGCATCATCGTTACGATGCTGAATAATTGGTTGTTTTTTTTAACTACCTAGTTATTGTTCTGCTTTATTATTCACTTTACCTCTTGCTGCTTTCTGCGTTGTTTTTGTTTATATTCATCACCTAATCCTTGATTGGTCAGTGAAGCCCAGGTATCTCTGACGACCTTGTCCTTGATCTGATGCCTGGAGACCGTTTCTTTACGTTCTTTAATCATTTCTTTAATATCTTCAACTCGCTGTTGGCGGATTTCTTCATGTTGACGTTTTTCTATAAAGATATTTTTATTCCAGAAACGTAAATGTTCGATAGGGATAACTTATTTTATTATATAGGGCTCAAATGGACGGACAGGTCCCCTGGTAGAAGTGCAACGCACTTGTAACTCTTATGACAAGTGCTTTGACTCCTTTTGAGTCCCCTCCCTCCCCTACAGATTTAGTAGGAGGGAGGCTTGAGGTTCCGGTAACCTCATTCATACGGTGAACAGTAACGAAATTGTTTAGTAGATTATGTAAAATTACATCAGGTTTTTTTTATTTAATGAATTACTTCAAGTGTGTTGGCTTGTCTGTCTAGGGTAGATAGACAAGCTAGCACACAGATTTCCATATTCATTAAATGTATAGTAAGGTCTTTTGTGCACGGATGGCATAGTGGTTTAAGCGGTCAACAACGCTGCTTACTACTACGCTGAGAATCATGGGTCCGATCCCCCGATGGGACAGCAGTTTGTATGATCCACAAATTGTGGTTCTGAGTCTGGGCGTTCTTTGTGTTCGTTTCATGTATGTTTGTAAAGTCCCTCGCGACACAGGATTTATTTCTAGTGCGAGAGCATTTTTTTTTTAAAAAGTAAAAGAAAGTATGGTAATTGTTGTGTGTTAATGTTTCAGAAATCATCCGGAAATGACAAACCTTTACAACAGGCTGCAGTATGGGAAAAGAGAGATAATTTGTAGAGATATTTTGAGAGGTGTACCAGACAGATATTTTTTTGTAACAATTGTGAGGGTAAAACACAAGGAAACTGTTCTTTTAAAATAGAATTTTTTGAAGTTTACCTTCTTTTTCTTGAACACGATTTTCTGCAAACTTAGCCAGCATCAACAGCGTTTCACGTTTCAATGTCTCTTGTTGTTTAGCTTGCTCTATCCGACGGATCTCAACATGGCGATCTGTATCTTCTTTTGCTTTAAGGTCACGACGATAGCGATCTATTGCTTCCAATTCCATTCGAGCGGTCTTGAAAAATAAACGAAGAAGTGAAATGATTTTGGCATGAAGAATTTTTGCAATAAGTACCGGTCTGTTAGCTGCTTGCTTCAAAGTAATTAAATTAAATAAGATCTGGTTTTGGCTTGCTTGTATTCCTGACAATGTGTTTATGAAAGTTTATGACGATGGATTCAGTAGTTCCGGTCTGAAAGCTTTATAATCACTCTTAGTTGCATCCTAACTATCAATATTTAAATTGGTGTGTTTTAAAATCTTAAAACCAATTTGTTGGACTGGTAGTGCAGTGAACCTGATGCCGCGGCAGGGCACCTATGCGCACGACCGATCAGCTGATATCCGCAATTGGAAGCCGCGTATCTGACTGTGTCTGACAGTCTGCCAATAGCGAGAGAGGTATTGTACGAAGGGCTGTGTCCGCCTCTACCACTGACTTAAATATCTCAATGTGACCCCGACCGCTCTGCCAAAAGTGACGACAGAGAAAAAGTTCAAGATTGCTTGCTACAGTGTGCAGCGTGTACATGAGTATAAGGCGTCTGTGAAAGTTCAGCGCAGAAATATCGGATTATATTATTTGTTAGGCTTATAAATGAAGTAGGGCCTTAGGAACTCAAGATTTTTTTTTTAAATAGGGGGCAAATTAGCAAACGGGTCACCTGATGAAAAGTGACTACCGCCGCCCATGAACATCTGCAAATCAGAAGTCACAAGCACGTTGCAGGCCTTTAGGGTATCCCCTTTTCTTGAAGGTTTGAACTTTCAACCTTGAATATTAACATGTAATGGTCTTACAAGCATTTCAGTCTCCTTCATAAGGACGGCCTGCCACATGTTTTCTACTTCTTTGTCCGCCATCTTACGTGCCTGTTTCTCTTGGACCTGATGTGCCCAGGCCTCGACGGTTTCTTGAGTTTGTTGCTTCTTTATCAATGGAAGTGCGTGTATGCATTTAGACCTGAGAATATAACTCATTTTTAAAAGATTATTTTATTGTGATTCTGAGTAAAAATTAATACGAAACTTAACTTATTCAGTATTAATTAACCACAGTGAAATACAGCTGGCACGAAAAATGTTTTATTCGGTTTCAATTTTCGCGTGTCACTACAAGAGATTCTCTACAATGTAGTTCGCTTAGTGTAACTTTATAATATTAAAATTTAAAAAACAAGATATTTTATTGGCTCATCTCAGTTGAATCGTCTTACTATTCAGATGAATAAAGAAAGATGACAGAAGTCATAATTGTAAGATGAATGGTGAATTTTTGTGAAAGCGCGTTCAATGTCGTGCTTCAAGACAACGGCAACCGCTTAACTAGCCTGACTTTTACTAACAATGAAAATTCCGTAGACGAATATTTATTCTCATGTTCCTTATTTCGCTTAGCTAGTAGATGCGCCAAGCGGTCTTCAGTATCCTGCCAGGCTGCTGCTTTGCCATCATAAACCTGTTGTATAAGTTTACGCACATTCTCCTTTTCTTCTATAGCATAGAGATCTTTTAATCTGAAAGTAATCTATAGCATAGAGATCTTTTAATCTGAAAGTAATCGTTTAGAAAGTAAATACATATTAAGAACTCGTTCTATATCGACAGGCGAGTGAAGCTGCGTGTTGATGTAGTGGTTTGAAATTCCGACTGCTCAACCGGGGGATGTGGGTTCAATTCCCAATCAGTACGATAGTTTGTTCTGTCTGTATCTGGGTGTAATTTATCTATAAAATGCATCTATTTAAAACCTATAAGTATAGTATGTAGTAGTTTATCAGTAATCCGGTTACCGGTTACGGTTACCGAGATATGTGCAGTTATAGTTATTTAGGAACGTTTTCGACGAGGTACGGTAATTTTTACAACGATAATAAAACATTATGTCTTACTTTTCCCTTCTTACATTAAGATCGTCTTCATATGACTGCATGCAAATATTGAAACGGACTACCACTTTATTTAATAGGCTCCTGCAAGTAATAACACTTTGATAGAGAAATTTACGGAAGCAAATATATTACAGGGAAATTGCTTTGCACTGCTTCGCTTTTAAGGTTAACAGCGTAATAATACAAACATTCCTCAATACAAAAATAATAGCTGTAAAATTTCGACCGTTTTGAAATGTCTATATCATCATCATCATCATCAACAGTCTTTAATAGTCCACTGCTGGACATAGACCTCTCCTTAGAAAGGAGGTTTTGACCTACTATACCACACTGGCTAAACGGGTTGGTATAAATATCTATATATAATAAGATATTGTTATATATATACATATATACTATATATCTTTATTTAGGTATAGATGTCAAGTATATAGTATGGCTATTTTTGTAACAGAAGAAGAGAGAGAAGAAATACATACTTACTAAGTGTGTATTGATAGTAACTGCAACTCTAATAGTTACTTATACTCGTATACTTAGATAATCGCGAATATAAAAAAAAGACTATTGACATTAAATTATCCAGAAGACATTATGGATGTACACTTAAAAACTAATACCTTTTTTTCTGTTCGAAAATTCCCTTGGAGTAGTATCTAAGGGAATTTCCGCACATGGTGGTTATGGCGGACTCGAACCGATTAAAAACCGCACGTCTTCTGGGGTACCAGTAGCCGGGGAACCTGGTATACCTCAGAAAGGAAATCCCTGACCTCCTCGGGTCATCTACGGATATGGGAACTCGTAAACTAACTTGCGCTGACACCGCGAAAAGAAAGTTATTTTGTATTTATCTTCAGCTTTCTTCAGTGCTTCTTTTTCTAGCCGTTTCAGTTCCTTCTCGCTCGCCCGCAGTTTCTTCACGAATTCTTCGTACCGGGCGGTCGAGTTTAACACTCGAGACGTCTGGAGAACGTAATATTTAGTTTATTTTTTCAATACGAGCGTGCATCACAATTTTTTTTTAAGTTTTTATTGTTTTGAAATGATTTTAAAAGACCATATTGTATAGAGATTTAAATTTACCGGCACTGTATTATAAATCACTTCTTTTTATTTCTTACCAGTGTGTCGGTAATTACAAAGTAGGTAATACATAAGAGCAATGCAGGTCCATTTCTATATGAGAGGAGAGCGAGAAATAAGAAAAAAAACTAAAACAAGATGGCTACACACTTATTTATTCATCAATCAATCATCATTAACAGCCTTTAACAGTCCACTGCTGGGCATATGCCTCTTCTTAGTAAGGTTTTGGTTTACTATACCACGCTGGCCAGATGGGTTTTGTATAAGATATTATATAAAATTTATTTCATGTTTTCCTTCTCTTGGCACTGCTGGTGTTCTGCGTAGTTTACTCCTTTAGTGGGCTCTTACAACACCCACCCACGGTGACACTTTGTATTCTTGTGTAATTTACCTATAATATGTATGTATTGAAAAATATATGTATGTTCAGTAGTAGTCTGGTTACCATAACATAGTCTCTGCCTAGTTTGGGATTAGACGGCCGTGTGTGTGAATTTGTTATTTTTAATATTTCTATAAAACTGCATTGAAAGCGGTCCATTACTTTGGGCGCGACGATATCTACCACATAGACTTACAATAACCTCTTCTAGAGTCGGGGTTAACTGGTGATTAAATGGATTTTGTCTTAATATAGGTGGCTATAGTTCTTTTATAGGTTTAAGATATAAATAAATCACACATCAACAGGATTTAATAGTGCACTGCTGGACATAGGCCTCTCCTTAGAAAGAAGGTTTTGGCCTACTATACCACGCTGGCCAGACGACGTTGATATAGGGATTGTATATAAATATATAATAAATATAAATAAATACATCTTACATAATAAAGTTGACCGGCCCCGCGAGGTCCAGAGCCAACTTTAGGAATCCTCGATCTCAGTCCTAATGCTTCAGTACGAGAGTTGGTTTCCATTTTCAAAATTCTTAAAGTTGTCAAGGCAGAAGTTGAGAGTTCGTTCAATCTTAACACAAATACATTTCAGTATTACACTTAAGATATTTTGCAGCTTACAAAGTAATTAAAAATATTTATTTCATAATGTTACTGTTAACTTCTTTCCGTAAAACTAGGTGTCTCTAACTTAAACCACTGTAGGTACTAAATAACTTAATTTACGACTACGGAAAAGAAATACGTAATAAAATACATTATTGTGTTGTGTTGTGAAGGGCATTTTTTTTTTCTGTGTGACAGAATAAAAGTAACCAGTGACAATAACCAAAGTAGGTAATAATTCAAAAGAATATTCTTCTTCTAAAATTTTATGAAATTAATTGTTTTCCTTTTTGTTTTTAAGTACGAGTATCTACCTAATATAAAAATGTTGATTAAAATATAGCTTTTTGGACAGACTTACTCTAGACCTTAGGAGTGACAGCATTAGCTACAAATACGTAACGGTCTCGACCCGTCAACCGCATTGTACTTGTTATCATACTTATGTACAATGAAGGCAAACACATAAGCTGAAGCAGAAGCTTTATTAATAACAAGAATACCAAAAGTAAATACCTATGCAACTGTAAAAAAAAAGTGAAATGACTTCTACAGAAATCTACAAAACAAACCTACATAAGTTTATATTTTTTATTAATCCAATATCCAAATATCGTCAGATCAATATGTATTAACTGAAAATTTAGTTTTACGTTATTTGCTTAACTGGTATAGGTGAGTAAATAATTATAATTGAATCAATAAATAAACTTGCAATTTATTAATATAAATTAACGACAATTCAATACACAAGTATTGCCAATGAAGCCAGGTTGGTATTAATTAAAATCAATGCCAACCTGGCTTCATTTGCACAAGCTTAAACAGATTTTTATGATGCATAGTTTTCGATTACAAATTTGTACGGAACCCTCGGTGGGCGAACCCTATTTTAAATGAATAGCTGTTTGTTTGCAACTCACCTGATAGAATGTGGGGGGAGAGTGAAGAGTGAAGAGAACCTCAACTTTACTCTAAAACGACTTTACTCTGGAAATCGGAGGAAAAAAGAGATGGTGGTATAGTTTAGTTGGATTTTATTGGACGAAAATATGTTTGAGTCTAGTGGTTCGATGAAGGTTCAATTACATCAATGAAAGCTTTTGTACCCTCTCCGAAATGAAACTCTTTAAAACAAGAAGCAGCTGCTTTCTTCAGATGTTCAAGGGTACAAAGTTACAATTCATGAACACATCGTCGTTCATAAGTTTACGAGATCCTCATTATTCTTAATATGACTGCGACTCCTTTTGGGTAAAATACATGTAGTGGGATGTCTTAAAGCCTCGTTGCATTCTTTACACACTTTAATAGGCCGTTTACACGCATAGTGACCTTCGACAAGTGTCCACAAACACGTCGAGGTACTAGTGTCGGTTTTTAAACACATATCAAAGGAAGCTCGCGGCAAGCGTTGACGTATTTACACGTTGGCGCGTGGTTGTTCCCTACTGCTCAACTTGATATTACAAGTATTGTGAAGTATTTTGAATAAAAATATGTCCACGTCTGCCTGTCCTGGAACGCAATAGTACACTCGCAAGCGTGTAAATGGCATCCCAGCGTTTGTAAAGACTTGGGCTTATGGACGTTTGACAAGCCTCGGCACGCATGTAAAATATGTTGGCTTTTTAGTTAGGCACGAAGTCAATGTCATATTCCGCCAAGAAAGTTCAAATTTAAACTCATTACGAGCGAAATAAAATTGTTTAAGTTTCTAACTGTTTTATTCAAAAATCAACCTTAAAAACATGACTTCTTAACATAGAAAAATAATTAAAATGCATAGACAATGATTTTGTCACAGCAAAGTCGACCGTCGGTATGGTATACCTAAAGTTATAAAAGTATTACAAAGGTAATAAAAATATATTAAAAAAAAAAAAAATATAAAGTGTCAAATCAAAAACTTAGCAACGTGATTAAAATTTGAAAGAATCAACTTAGTGATTAAATAACAATCAACTTTAAACAAATTCACAAAAGCGGGATAATGTTAATTTTAATGATCAATTAAACAGATATTGCCGCATAATATAAAACCTCGATCCCCGATAATTGGCAAATTGCGGACTTGTTTAATAAAAACCACCTCAGTATTCTTCTACTGAGGTGGTTTTTATTAAACAAGTCCGCAAGACCAACCCCCTCCCCCAGGGGAGAGGATAGACATCCTTCATCCTGACGGTCTTCGACCCCGTCATGACAAATAAAAACTAATTGTGTAGATTCGTGGCTGACGCCATTGCAAACTCTATGGCACTAATACTAGATTCTTTTATAGTTCATGAGCGTTAAGAAAATAGTGACGCATCGATCAAGCCCCGCCCCGCGACGTCACTATTTTCTTAACGCAAATTGACTATAATTTGAGTACACGTAAAACTACAAAAAAAAAAGATTTTAATAATATTAGGCCTGCCATCACGAGGCATCGGCGGTTAACTAATAAGTAGTAAATATAGTTTTAAAATTACTGGTAAGGTTTTTAAACTAGATGGCGATCTTTGTGGTGTTTGGATGTATTAAATCTTCTGGTCAGTTTTAAACACTGGTCTTTGGATACAACCCAACATCTCATAACATAATATTTACAAAAACTCGATCCCCGATGCAAGCAGCATGTCTCTTAAAGCAAATGGTGCTTTACATATTGATATCCGTCATAAATATCTGATACACATACGGTAGCTTCATATCTTAGGTAGATACCTAAAATATAATCGACATATTAATTAAGCCTTTGAAATGTGAAATCAATAGAACAATATAAATAAAATATAGAGATACTTATTAGATACTAGATATTATTTGCTGCATTATAATATATGCAGATTCTAATTTGCAATCTCTTATAAAATATACTTCTTCCTCGACAGAATTTCTTTGGAGTTTAAGCACAGTGACAGGTGCTACAATACTGATGTAGATGCATAATGGTCGAATATAGAAAAAAAAACATTTTACAGAGAATTTAAGTGACGATTTACAATATTCGGTACGAAAGCAATATAAAAACTTATAAAGTGATAGTTATGTAGATGTATACTGGTCGAATATGGAAAATAAAATACTTTACGAATACTAGTCGTGATTCGGTACAAAGGTAATAAAAAAACTTAACTATGAGTCGCATACATATAAAAAATCAACATATACTACATTTAAGTATCAGCCTGTATACTTCGTAGACCGTCTAGCGTAACGAAAATATGGCACAGCCTTATTAAAATCACAAAGAACTCTTTACTGATTCAAAAATCTGATTTTTAACACCTATTCTTAAATAAAATCATAAGCTTGTTTGATAACTTTCAAGTTGTATAAGAACTACGAAATAAGTACAATTATCAGATTATAAAACTAAATTTCTAATTCGGATAGGTAACTTGACTTTTTTTAATATAGATATTTACTAAATAATGCCTAAATTAAAGTCACAAATTCAATGTTCCAGAATATACAACTTACTTCTAATCTCACTATAAAAAGTTAAATTACCATACGAATTGAAATCTTAGGTTTCAAAGTATTGAATAAAAATACATGTATATGTCATAAAAAAGGTAGAAATGTAACGCGTTTTACTTTCATTATGGCACATGAACAAAATACAATGACCAAAAATAGTCATTCACACTTAATGAATGTCATTAATTTCAAATTTCAACCATAAAACTTCACAACTAACGATATACATATACTGTCTAACTCTGGTTGTCCCACAACCACTTTATTAGGCGACCTTATAACTAATTCCCTGTTCAACAGCTTCAAATTAGCACTGTTAGGCAACAAATCCATTCTAGACAGTTCTAGCTTCAAACCATCGGGGTCGTTCTCGTATGTTAAGGTGGGGGGCAGCTGATCGACGTTACCCTTCCACGTGAATGGCTCGCCAGTTACTTTGTTGTAGGTAGTGATGCTGCCGGTTGTTGGGATGTCGTCTTCGTTTGAGAGAGCCTGTTGGATGAAAGCATATTTGCTGGTGAGTCGAATTACGAAAATATAAAGAAAGCTTTATAAATAATAATTTCACGAAATAAGAATAACTTTGTTTCAACTTGGTTCCTTTGTGCTAATGAGAAGGTGAATTCAAAAATCACCTACCTCGTTTTCTTTTTATGTTAGAGGGGGCAAACGAGCAGACGGGTCACCTGATGGAAAGTGACTATCGCCGGCCATGAACGTCTGCAACTCAGGAGTCACAAACGCGTTGCCGGCCTTTACGGCAGGAGTACGCTCTTTTCTTGAAGGTAGTATCGGTCCTGAAATACCGCAGACGATAACCCGTTCCACAGATTGCCAAGAACAAATCGGTCGGGGTCCTGGTAATTGGAGCTGACCACGTACAGCGAGTGGCGGTGCGCGAGCGCGCGACTGAGCAAGGCGCGGCGCGACGCTAGAGGGGGGGGAGGCAGTACTCACCGTGAGCGTGGCGGCGAACCGGTCGGGGTCCTGGTACTTGGCGCTGAGCACGTACAGCGAGTGGCGGTGCTCGAGCGCGCGGCTGAGCCAGGCGCGGCGCGACGCTAGAGGGGGGGGGGGAGGCAGTACTCACCGTGAGCGTGGCGGCGAACCGGTCGGGGTCCTGGTACTTGGCGCTGAGCACGTACAGCGAGTGGCGGTGCTCAAGCGCGCGACTGAGCCAGGCGCGGCGCGACGCTAGAGGGGGGGGAGGCAGTACTCACCGTGAGCGTGGCGGCGAACCGGTCGGGGTCCTGGTACTTGGCGCTGAGCACGTACAGCGAGTGGCGGTGCTCGAGCGCGCGGCTGAGCCAGGCGCGGCGCGACGCTAGAGGGGGGGGGGGGGAGGCAGTACTCACCGTGAGCGTGGCGGCGAACCGGTCGGGGTCCTGGTACTTGGCGCTGAGCACGTACAGCGAGTGGCGGTGCTCGAGCGCGCGGCTGAGCCAGGCGCGGCGCGACGCTAGAGGGGGGGGGGGGGGGGAGGCAGTACTCACCGTGAGCGTGGCGGCGAACCGGTCGGGGTCCTGGTACTTGGCGCTGAGCACGTACAGCGAGTGGCGGTGCTCGAGCGCGCGGCTGAGCCAGGCGCGGCGCGACGCTAGAGGGGGGGGGGGGGAGGCAGTACTCACCGTGAGCGTGGCGGCGAACCGGTCGGGGTCCTGGTACTTGGCGCTGAGCACGTACAGCGAGTGGCGGTGCGCGAGCGCGCGACTGAGCAAGGCGCGGCGCGACGCTAGAGGGGGGGGGAGGCAGTACTCACCGTGAGCGTGGCGGCGAACCGGTCGGGGTCCTGGTACTTGGCGCTGAGCACGTACAGCGAGTGGCGGTGCTCGAGCGCGCGGCTGAGCCAGGCGCGGCGCGACGCTAGAGGGGGGGGGGGGGGAGGCAGTACTCACCGTGAGCGTGGCGGCGAACCGGTCGGGGTCCTGGTACTTGGCGCTGAGCACGTACAGCGAGTGGCGGTGCTCGAGCGCGCGGCTGAGCCAGGCGCGGCGCGACGCTAGAGGGGGGGGAGGCAGTACTCACCGTGAGCGTGGCGGCGAACCGGTCGGGGTCCTGGTACTTGGCGCTGAGCACGTACAGCGAGTGGCGGTGCTCGAGCGCGCGGCTGAGCCAGGCGCGGCGCGACGCTAGAGGGGGGGGGGGGGGGGGCAGTACTCACCGTGAGCGTGGCGGCGAACCGGTCGGGGTCCTGGTACTTGGCGCTGAGCACGTACAGCGAGTGGCGGTGCTCGAGCGCGCGGCTGAGCCAGGCGCGGCGCGACGCTAGAGGGGGGGGGGGGGGGGGGGAGGCAGTACTCACCGTGAGCGTGGCGGCGAACCGGTCGGGGTCCTGGTACTTGGCGCTGAGCACGTACAGCGAGTGGCGGTGCTCGAGCGCGCGGCTGAGCCAGGCGCGGCGCGACGCTAACGCGCCCAGGGTGAAGCGCGCCACGCACTCGCCATGGCTGCACTCAACTATGTCCGCTTTATGCTCCTGCCATTAGTAGTTATGTTAGAAGAGTATACGGTTGAGTAGTGTAAATGCTTTTCCCAAATTAAAAAAATCACTACTGCGCAACAGTGTTGGTTGAAAAATTAAATGCCGACCAAAAATCGGCAGACCTCTACCTAACCTACTACCTAACTATTAAGAGACAGTCTTGTTCTACAATGCAGCGAGTGAACAAGAACTTAAGGAGAATTATGAAATAATCGTCGCTATACAAGTAATTAAGCTTTTCTTACAGAATGACTTATATCATTTGTTCCTTTATATATGCATCTTTTCAGAAATGTTTACTCGTAATTCATTTTGGCATTATCTAATTATATTAAAATAGTATTCCTGTCATAACTAGCCTTGATAAAACCCCCAAAGCAAACTTAAAGATCCAAGTACATAATATTCAGTCAATTCATTATTCAGCTGATATTATGATTTTGTAGAAGCATTAGAGTCTCACTAGTTACATCCTATCCTCTATACAATAAACCTACGTAAATTAGTAAGAAGAGAAAATATTTGGTGATTTAAAAGAGGATTCGTAAGTCTAAGTATACTTTTAATACGTTTTATTTAAAAAAGTATTAATTTAAACAATTGAAAATGTATTTTTTTTCAGATGATCTGATTAATTGAACTTATAAAAAATATATTAATTAACTTACTTTTCGTATATGGTACTCTAGAATGATCCTGGGTCCCGCCCAGTCACATAAAATGCACTTTATTCTGATGTCCATTCCCATACGTTCCATGTAGTCCTGTAATCACAGTACGGAATTTACGCAAAGGGCAAATATGTAATTGCCAAGTAACACATTTCCCCTTTGCGTCAACACTTACAATAGGTATTCATTGTAACATAACATTTAATAAATTTGAGAAAATCCTGACTGAGTTCTTTGGGGCTTTTTCTTAATTAGTTTTCAGTTGAGAACGTCGATAGAAGCACAAAAAAAAAGACAAATCAAAACAGTTATAACACTTTAATAATGATAAAGATATTTTTGATACCCCTATCTCCTACAATCAATGGACTGACGGAATATTACACTGAAATTAAATTAGGAAAAGAACCGGCAGATGATGATCACGCTTTAAAAACTCAACCCACCATCATAAAATTCTGTTTAAACATGGACACAAAAAATAATATCATATATTACGTACGTAACGTAGTTTAGAAAAAAAAAAACACTGTTACGAAATAAAACCTTTTACCAAAGATGAGGGTCGGCTTTAAGTCTACTACGACACGGCTTAACTTCGATTTTTTTGTAGGCGACTTCGAGCCAAGTACTGGGCAATATCGAAGTTCTGTAGATATAGACTATTGTTGGACTTTTCAGGGCTCCAGCTACCCGTAACGATGGCCACAGATGGCATCCGGGATAGACGGCTTAACGAGTTTTCCGGGGCATTGGCAGCTAGAATAATAATATTGTAATTTTCTTACCCCGTCTTGACTGATGATTTCCAAGGCGTCCTCGACCATTTCTGGTATAGTGACGTTAGCGCCCAAGTCTTGGGATTGCACCGACTCTGCAGAACTTGAACGTCGTACACTTACAGTTGTTCCATCTAAAACAGCTATGGGTATTATTATTTTTTAGTATTCTTTGAAAATATATAAAAAAATTACGGCCGTGTGCTAACAGATTTAGAATAGAGTGTCACCACCCCTATTCATCCCGTAGGTGTCTTAAGAGCCGACCGACAGGTCAACAGCACTGCAAAGGAAAACTTGACAGAAACCCTATACCAACCCGTCTGGCCAGTGTGGTATAGTAGGCCAAAACCTCCTTTATAAAGTGAGGCATATGTCCAGCAGTGGACTACTAAAGGTTGTTGATGATGATTGAAAAAAATAATTAAATTACCTTCTTCACAACGGAAGTTTTTAAAGAAGTCATGGACACGTGCGTCTTCCATGCCGTAGTGTGGACTATACTGCGATGCTGAAAACACATAGTACAATTCTTAAATAATTTTCTCAATGCCATTAAGAATAAATAGTAAGCTGAAGACCCTACTCTCCCCTAATTACACAGACGATAAAAGTCAGTTAGGATTAGCCAGTATAATGATCGAGTACATTTAAATTGTGAATAAAATTGTGAAGGATTGGCAGACAATATAGCCATACAGTCCAAAAGAGCTTTTTTAAAATAGAACTAGTCATTCCCACACAGCACAACACCAGTGACCCACGAATTAAACTGTCTTGGAACCCGTCATAAAATTAATCAGAAGTAAATTGGAGGGGTTGGAAATATAATAAATCCGCTTCCCTCCTTAGCAAAGCGGGAGTCAAAATGAATTAAAATAGGCATACATCCTAAGTGGGAAATTCACCCTAGTTGACACAAGATCCCCATAGTATACCGCCCTAGATGTCACCTGCTATTCAGCATAATGTTACGTTCATTATACCAAAGACTACATACTCAGAGGATGTGATGAGCAGACTATTCACAGTGTACAATAGAGCTGAAAATCGTCTACTATTGTGAACTAGACTTCAGCATATTGGGCTTGAAAATATGTTATGAGGGGTTGCTCATAAAAAGATTGATCCCCAGGAGCCTTAATTGAAAGTACTGACTGTTGACAACTAGTTTTATTTCTTTCTAGGTAAAACGATAAACAATACTTAAAAGTTTGTTCAAACAAAACAAGTAAAACTTGTTACAAGTACAAGTAAAACAAGTAAAAAAAAAAACTGCTGTGCTGAGGTTTCTGTGAAAGATTACAATAAGTATTATAAGTGTGGCAACATTGTTTGGAACTATCTAGATGGTTCTAGTCGGCCATGTTGTTCCCTTCTGGTTTTGCGCTGTGTGCGGTGTGACGCTTTTCTATGTAACAATTATAATCATTCCAATATTCAATAAAACAGTTGTGCCCTGTGGCGTACGTATATTATTTCACAACTCATAATAGTTTCCCGGGTATAGGGTTTGTTTCCCGGGTCGGACCAAATGTTTGTATGATCTGCAAATATTTGTTTCGGAGTTTGGGTGTTTTCTATGTATAATATGCATGTATTTACTACCTACTACTTCTTTGATAATAGTTATTCTAACTAATATAATTATGCAGTTTTGTATTAAATTTCTGTATCCCCACAGTAACTATTCTTTCAGTTAATCTAGCTTTCATAGTACAAGCTTTGCTTAGTTTGAATTTAGATGGCGCTGTGTGTCAGATATCCAAAAAATGTTATGATAATAATTTTTCGGTCATCTGACACAAAACGCCATCTAGTTTCAAAGCATTATATTTATATTGTTTGTGGTAACGAAACCATAGCAGGATCTAGCCAGGGGGCACAGCGGCATCTACCGACGAGTAGTGTAGTAAATTTAACTTATACAGATTATAACATATTTTCAATCCCAATATGTTGCTATTGTCATTACAAAGGTATCAATTGAACGCGACAGCAAACTATATTTTTTCGCTTAAATATTTACACATAATAAGGTTAAGTAGGTTTGGATTGGATGGGTGAGCACAAACAGAGCAACACAATGTCTAGGTACTAGGTAAGCAGAACTCACTAGCAGTATTATAGTAGCTGGACACGTTGGCCGACGGCTGCGCCTTGCTGCAAAGTAACAGTGGTCATGCAAGCGGTAAGCGTTCTGTGCAAACAGGTAAGTGCAATGTAATTTAGATGCAGAGATAGACGTATGAGGATTATTTGATGCTAAGCATATGGTTACATGAAGCAAAAAAAAACATAATTGCAATCAAACGTAAAAAGAAACATTTACCTTACATTTAATGTTAACAGAAATGAAAATATGATAAAAGTAACTATAAGCAACCTTTCAGAAGATGGGCGTTGAACGCACGTCGAACGTGTGTTTTTTTGTACAGTGTTTACATGGCAAGCGTTTCACGGTCGTTTTTGTAGTTCAGTTCGACTTCTGTATTCATTGAAAGGGTTGTAGAAACCACAAAATTAAAACAGATTTTAATTTCTCCATTAATTCGATTTAATTCTGTTTGTTAAATTTTTATTTTATTTTTTATTTTAGACGTTTATTTTAATGGCTTGACACCTTTTATTAAAATCAAACGTAATCGTAGAAAACGTGCACTTACAGAAAAGAATGTGTGATTCCAAAGAGTGCGTTGACAAAACGTGCTTTTAAGCCAGTCGTCTGAACATGGCTTTACGTTAACTGGAATTATGTTTTGTGTATTTAAATATGAACTACCTGAAGTTTTGGCGAGGTTACAATAGCCGTGGTAACATTCATGCGGTTATTTCCGTTTATATATAATGTGTTTTACTGTATTTAGACTAAAGCTCATAACACGGTGTCAATAACGACAGTTCATTGTCTGTATCTGACAATTTGGACAACAAATGAAATCTGAACATTTTGGAATTGCACCACTTAAAATATCAGTGCATTTGTAGCTCCTATTATTAGCAATATGAAGTGACAATAGGAACATCTAGACAATGTCCAATTTTCATCCGACAAGTGTCAAAACCGAACTGTTTGCGTTGTAGAAGTGGAACCAATTCCGAGAGCTATATGTATTTTTACTTCGAGGCAAATCTCACCACGTGGAGGTCGTTAAAATGCTTCTCATAATTAAAACGGCTTCTAATTACGAACTGGACCAATTGCGAATTGGGCTAATTTCGAACTGGACCAATTGAGAATTGGACCGATAGACTTTTTGCATTGGACACAATGGGCCCTAACGCATAGGTCATGGCCAACAAATGGGATGGAAAAAATGGGACCTGGTATCCACTTAAGATGGTATTTGCAGATAAAACTTGTATAGAGATAATAATACCTTGGAATAATAATAATAATTCACACTATTAAAAATGCAAACAACAGAATCTTATACGTTTAGAACTCAAATATATATCTGATATGCATACATATAGCAATATTAACAATATGCAGTAATTCCATAAGCATATTAGTAAATAATAATATTTTGAAATCTATCTGTAACCCCTTAATTTTTTTCAGAATCTGCTGAACATTTTATGCGTGAAGACGTAATAAACAAACTTATACACGCATATATGAGTTAACATTACTTACGCAGTTGATATAATAGGCGTGCTGTACACACATCGCGTAGTAGACGTGGTGTTAATCTGGAGCAGCGGTTGGTTCACAATGAAAACATTCTTCAAGTTATACAAGTTCTCCAGCATTGTCGTCTGGTAGTTGTGTAGATCCGGGTAAAAAAGTTGCTGATTACGGGCTGAAAAAGAAGGATTCCACTACAGAAATACGAAAAACTTTATTCCGTCAGTCACAAATACGAATACTTTCGGTAAAATAAATTTCGTGAATTTTAATAATAGACATTATAATTCTTAGGTATTATGAAATTCGGACTTTTGAAAATCGGAACATCGAAATTCGGAATAAAATATTTCGGAGTATTTGGGTGTTCCCAAAAAAACAATGATTTTAAGACTAGTCGCTGAGGAAGTAGAACTGAGAACACTCAGATTCAGTACTATAATTTGTAGAAAACAATTTTTTGTTTTGTGTGAAGACTGCTGCTGAATATTTATTTAAAAAAATTGATTTATTACCACATAATCGTAGGCTCCTTGAAAGGTAAATAAAAAAAAAGCCGCATGAAGAGTAAACCGGTTAGAATTATATTTTCATGCATGCTATTTATTAATCCGTATCGTTTTATCCGGGTATCGTTTTATTAACCGACTATGATAGTACTAACATAATTATTTTAGGAGCACCCGTAGAAGTAAGGAGTTGAAAACATAATTAAATAAGAAAGCATTATATTGACTTCAAGATAGAACATTAAAAACTTAATATTTATGAATCCACTTACGGTAACTTTTGATGTTTGACGCCTGAGTTTCTTACTTGCCTTGAACCACACTAGACAGGTCCTATTTAATTTTAACAGATAGATAATAAAATAGTAACTACTAGAAACTCACCCATTTCCGCTTCATTATCAACTTGCACATATATCGGTTGAGTGACATCTCTCTCATAAACAGTATTAAAGTTACTAAATACATCATTGATTTTCGGCAGCTTGCACTCATTGGTCACGCAATTAGATATCTCTTTCGTGCGCAGTGACCTCACTTGCTCAGCTCTGATCTTCTTGTGATAATACACTGTGTAATCCGCTTGATTCTCTTTATACACAGTAGATGTGTTCGACATGGTATCTTCAGTAGTGTCATAACTGAGAGTACTCTCCGAAGTCATTTCTAAAGACGTATTCGAGATGGTACTTCTGAAATTGTTTGAAGAACTTATTGATATAGTCGCATTTTTCTCCATTCCTTCAATGCTGTGTAAACTATGTTCACGATCCTTTCTTTCAGAGCTGCTTTGTGTGCACGGTTTTTGTAAATAAGCGTTTAATTTGGACCTGGTGCCGTCAGCCCTACGGATAGATACGATTGGAGTTTTGGTCTCTTCGTTTAGAGGGTAGATTCCGCTTAATCTGCGCTGTCGTTTGACGGGTTGGGGTGAGATGTTCTGCAAAAATAATTAGGTAAAATTTCGTATATTTTTATTACAGTGCTAATATTAAAACACAAAAATAGCGCATTAATAGTGCATAAAAATAGTGACATGTTGGATAAAAATAAGATATGTTTAATTACGACTTTTAGTCATGGCTATTTAGATCACATAGTAAAATAGTAAGTGTTAAGATCACCACCCCTATTCATCCCGTGGGTGTCGTAAGAGACGACTTAGACAGCAAACTACGCAGGACAACAGCACTGCAAAGAGAAGGAAAACTTGACACAAACCCTATACCGACCCGTCTGGCCAGCTTGTTATAGCAGGCCTAAACCTCCTTTCTAAAATAAGGCATGTCCAGCAGTGGACTATTAAAGGCTGTTGATGTAAAGCTCTACACCTTATATTTTAAATACAATTTTAATATAGGCACGGTACCGGAGTTCAAACTGCCTTCCCCCGATTCTGGGGGGCGGGTCTTAAAGGAAGGTAACACATTTGTGACTCTTGACCTATCTAAAAAAAAGTATTATACAAATGGCCAACTTACTGCACTCCTTTGCCTTAGAACTGGTACAACCTCATTGCCACTCCTCCAGCCCACATTCCGTTTCACCAAAGACGTCATATTCACTTGTTGATACTTATCTTCAGTACTCACAGTTATTTTGCCAATACTTTTAATACTCTCTTCGGAGCTAGAGCTCTTTATAATACCAATTAAAGCATTGTTCAGAACATAATTGGGGTTTCTGATACTCCTGAAACTCCTGAGTACCCTATCACTTGCATTGATGGACCCAGTCGCCAAGGCTATGTTCCGGTTTGTCCGCTTCGGTGGTGAATACTGGTCTGGACTGTAGCGTATCATGATGTGGCTAACTCGTTTTGGTGTGGTGGTGATGGGAGGTGATTTAGTATTGCTTGTTGATGATATTTCTGTGCTTTGCTGAAATATTATTAATAAGTTTTTGGTTGAAATTGCAGGATTTGGGATTCATTATTATAATTAGAGATGCCACAAATAGTGATTATGACGAATATTTGGCGAGTCTCTTAGCCGAAGCGCTGAATATTCGGCAACACTTAGTATATTTCGCTATGAACATGAATTAGTAAAATGGCCAACAAACGCAACACAATATCCTAACGTAACAGAATTTGCTAAGATTTATTTATCATCTCCTGGAAGCAGTATATACAATTAGCGGCTAATGTATATATTTAAACTTAATGCACATGTTGTACAAAGGCGGATATAATGCCATGCGACATTCTCTCCTAAGTCGACCTTCGGGTGATGTGGAAATGTGATTTTACGAAGCAGGTATAATTTATGAAAAAAATATTATTATGAAATATTATTATTATAATAAGCTATTGATAAAATAAAAATCATTGTAAGTAATATTAGGCATTCTTTTTTTTGTGATTTTTTTGTGAGTTCGGAATATTTGGCCGAATATCGAATAGTGGAAAAAAATGGCCGAATATCGAATAGCTGCCGAATATTCGTGGCATCTATTATTATAATGATATGTAAGTATGTCAAAATAATTAGGATCTAATATCTAGTCTTGTGTATGTCGCATGCATGTTTGAGAGGGACCATACCCTCAAGTCACACAAATCATGCCTCGTATGCCTGAAGTGTGTTTGCTGTCCATATCACTAGTGCAGTGCAGGACAACTATGGTTCGACATAATGGGCCGGCTCGACAGGAGTGATACCTCCATAGAGATAAGATAATATAAATAGAAGAAGCGAACTGTATATTCTTCTGTAAGTAGTTGCGTACGGACGGTTGACAGAGATAGAAGACTGTTTTAGTCTTTCATCTCTCTTTGCTTTCTGCTCTGATTGGCTGCTGCATTTAAAATAGCCAATCAGTGAGCAGAGAGTGATGCAAGACCAAAACAATCTTCTTTCTCTCTATACCAACCGTATGCGATAGCACCTTGTTCGCTTAATTTAACATTTACAAGCTCTTTGGATACCACAGCCTCACACAAAATCGATGTTAAATAATTCTTTAGTTGCATTTCACACCTAGTGAGTGAGATTGAAGATCCCACCCCTTTCCCCTTCACTAATTCTGGGGGAAGGCACTCAAAAGATGATAAAATATTACACGAACATTTGGCTGTAAAAAAAATTGTTCACGTTGGAGTTCAGTTGTTCCGCACAACTTGAGAATTGATCTAAAACGGGTTCATGTCGGTTGGTGTAAAAAAATATTTTAAAAGTATAATCAGGGTGCGTCAAAAGCTGTTTATAATATCTATACAGGTGATGAATCTTGGATATATGCGTATGATCCTAAAACTAAACGAAAATCAACGGTTAGGCTGTTCCAAGATGAGCTGAACCCAATAAAAGTCAATCGATCAAAAACCACTTTGGAGCAAATGGTCGCTTGTTTTTTGGTATAAATGGACATGTGCCACTAGAGGATCATAAAACGGTTAATACTGAATGGTACACGACCATTTGTTTGCCAGAAGTCTTTGAAGAAATAAGAAAGAATAACTGACATCGCAGAATCCTGCTTCAACATGACAATGCTAGCTGCTACACATCGGCCGAAACAAAAGATTTGCAAGATCAAAAGATCGAATTAACGGGTCATCCGCCGTACAGCCCTGACTTGGCCCCCAACAACTTCTATTTATTCTCAGCCGTGAAGAATAAATTACGTAGTCAACGTCTTTTGACCCGTGAAGAGGCTGTTGATGCGTTCAAAATGCACGTTTTGGAGATACTACAATCAGAATGGAAAAAGTGCTACGAAAATTGGTTGCAACGTATGCAAAAAAGATTCGATCATCACGGCGAATATTTTGAAAAGCAATAAAACTATAATAAATGCTATATGTTTGTTTCACGTTGTTATTCCGGATACAAAAAATAGCAGCCCTCGTACCATAACAAAGTATATAATAAATAATAATAAACCTTACACATCTCAAAGGGCAGTCTGATCTATATATTTTTAACTACATACATATATTATATATTATTATACATACATAAATACATATTATTATATTATTTGATGATGATGATAATGACATATTATAGATAAATAGACACAGAACAAACGATCGTGCTCATCACACAATATTTGTTCTAGGTGGGAATCAAACCCTCTGGCTTAGCAGTCAGGGTCGCTAACCAATCGGGCACGCCGTCATCGCGGGCACGCCGTCATCGCGGCGGTAAGACCCGTTATGGAGGATTGGCTCGAGAGGCGTCACGGGACCCTCTCATAACGATTGACGCAGGTGATCACTGGGAAGGGATGTTTCGGGGATCACCTGTGTCTGATCCGCAAGAAGCCAACGCCTGAGTGCCACCACTGCGATGGCCAGACCGTGGACACGGCTCTCCACACGCTGGCAGAGTGCCCGGCGTGGGTTGAGCAGAGGCGAGACCTCGTGGCGGCCTGATTGCGGCTATAGTGCGGAGCGAGAGTGCGTGGAACTCTGCCGTCTCCTTCTGCGAGCAAGTTATGCTCGCGAAGGAGAAGGCGGAGCGGGACCGGGAGAGGTTTAGGACTCTCCCGGCCCGCCAGGCCCGGGAACGGGCCAGGTACCGCAGGCGACTCAGGCGCCGGAGGTCGCAGAACGACCTCCGTCCTCCATAAGCGCAGGCCTGGGGGTGACAGGTGAGGCCATCTGTCACCCTAGCAGAAGCAGGCCGGGGTGGCGGCGAGCGCGTTGCGAAGCGCGCTCGCTTCCAGGGAGCACAGGGAACATGGGGGTCGTCTGTAGATGACCCGAGGTATGTCGGGGCACCAGGGACTTCCTTTCTAGGGTATACCTGGTTCCCCGGCTATTAGTACCCGAGACGGCGTGCGGTTTTAGTCGGTTCGAGTCCGACATGCCACCGACAGGTGGTATCCGAGGGGATTTCGGAACGGAAAAAAAAAAAAAAAAGGTCGCTAACCACTAGGCCAACAGGCCGGTCGATACAACAGGTTTGTAGGACCGTATTTATAGTTGCTGTTGGATTCTATGAAGTTATAAACATCTCACCTGTATGTGTTTTTTCTTGTTCTTTGCTTTTTTTCTTGCTAAGGCCAAGTGTTTACGTTCCATTCTCACCTGTTTCACTAGATCATCTACTTGAGCATTGCTGCAGTACTTCTTCGCATGTATTAATTGTATAAGATACACTTTCTGTTGGTAAAAAGGAAAAGCTTTTATAACAACTAGTTGCCCCAAGAAATTTTCCCCTTATCCATTACAATTGGTTTTGAAATGTTGAAATACCAGCCTTGAAATAATTCCCTAGGATTGGATTATCAAAATTAAAGTAAGCAGAATATAAACTGTCCCATCCTATGTAGTATTTAATATATTTTCCATCTACTATTTAACATGGCAAAAATTTATTGATACAACAGTTTAGAGTCCGGACAAACATATCGAGAAAGTTCTTCCATACATAAAGAATTATTTTCTTTGTTTTCACTTCTATTGAAATAAACTTTTTTTAGCAATAACTCTAAGATTATTTTGTTTACTGATACCAAATTACTGAATTATTATTAGAAACTCAACCGCTTGTTTTCCATATACCTACATAGTTAAGAGCATAGGCACAGTATTGGCCAATCCTTGCATAAATACTAGAAGATACTAGTGTTAATCTACTGATATGTCTCATTTGCTGGTACTACCTATTACAAAAAGGTTGTCAGCCAATAATAGTTTTCTGACATCTTAACTACTATCAAATAGTCTTCACTTATTTTTTTTTTAATTGTTTAAAATCGTCTTTTATGTAGACTCTAAAGTCATAGATCAACACACACAGTAGCAACAATCTCTGTTTTGTAAAACATATAGCAAAATGAATTAAATTAAATTATACCTATCGAAAATCTATAATGTCTGTGCCGATCTACAATCGACCGTTTCCAAGGGGTTGTGCCTTATGAGCAGAAAGGGCAAACAAACTCACAGTCCCTCTTTTTTAATTTACAGATAGACACAATGGCATCTTTAAATATACCACAACATTGTTTTGATGTGTGCTAGAGGTGCTTATTAGGGACTAAAGTTGGAAGATGACAATAGACATAGGGGTTAAGTACAAAACAAATTTAATACATAAGGATTTGTAGCAGTGACTTGTGGAGGAACGGGTGTCATGTCCCTCTAACACAAAGGGAGGATTCTCTGAACAGGCGAGGTGATGCCTGGAGGCTGTGGCCCAATGGTTTGATGTTGGGAAGTTGTATATTTTCTAATTGGCAAGAGAATTCTTAATATCACGATACAGGATTAGCAAGTCACATTCAGTAGTTAATCCGTAGTTAGATGTATCTTCATGAGATGGGGCTGTAGTATGTTTCTGTTTTTTTTTTGTATGTGGGAGTCGCCACAGACTAATGATATTACTTAACTATTAATAAGACTGTACAATTCGATCACAGTAGCTGTTTCTAGATAGGTGAAATAGATTAATATTTGAGAAACCCAAATTAGAAATGTATTCAGTAAGTAGACTCCAGTATGTTGTACTATTTTTTAAACAGACACTTAAGAGCAACTAAGATAATGCTGAAATTTGCATTTAAGATGTCTTTGCAGATTTGCAATCTTCCATTAATTCCAATTTTAAGTGATTCTTATAAGAGATTAACTTATAATTCTTACAAGAGCTTAAAGTTTTACCGTTGAGGTATATTTATGTGTTTGTTACTGTTTGGGCAAACTCCACCACAAATAAAACCATCAATTTCTAATAAATATATTTATACCACTACTGATTTTTTATTTATTTAATGTTAGTAATTGACATAAATGGAACATCCTATCAATTTGTGTCCTGCCAATATTGTTCATTTTCTCTCATGTACTGGCGGCTTATTTTAACTTAGAAAATAACCCAAGGAATAGAAACTAGTAGTATACTTAATATAAGATATTACACTGGTTTAACCAGCTAGGCTTTAACCAGTCTTGCTACAAATTGTAAAACAAAAATAATGTAAAATAACCACAGTCACAAATTACTACACATGATATAAAAAAGCTGTTAGTTTAGTCTGAAAAACACAGTTTTAGTTTTTTTTTCAAAGAAAATTAAAAACATGGCAGAACTCTTTATCATAACAGATAATAAAATAAAAACATGTGGAAACCATGCATAGCAGTATCATTTTTTACCAAAAAATTTAACAAATGAAACATTAATTAATAACAATGATGTATCAGAATCTAAACAGTTTTAGTTTATTTAACTTTAGTACTTAGTCTGTAATGAAATATTGTTCAGTTACTTTTTTGTGTGTTGTGATAACTAATACATGATATGTGAATGTTTAATTAGATACGAATTTGGACGTGGTCTTAAGTTTCAGGATTATTTTGACCAATGAATCCTAAATGTACTTATATGAATTGGAAACGTGTATTGTAGTAAATTTGAATCATAAACCATGTTCTTACACTTTTAGAAGCTATTCCTAGACCTGCATGAGTGTTCTACAACACTGTGTTATTTGTATTATTAATTATTTATAGTCTAAGAACGTGCCATATAATTAAGTTAATCGAGACCAAGAATAATTACAATGATAAACTTACCTTTACGTTAGAAGGTAAACTCAGAGCTTTGGCAGTCTGTTGCAGAAATCTGTAAGAACATCTTTGCAAGCTCTCTGTCGAGTATTCTTCTGTGTCCTCCATGGTTGCTCCATTAGATACCAAGCACGTGTTGCGGTAAACATACACAGCGTATGAACTTAATTTATTGTGTGACTACCGTCTTATCGAAGTAAGAAAGCTTAGTCAGATTTCTATTAGTTCTAACGTACCGCCGCAATCTACTTACGTTCCGTTTCTGATAATATAACCTTGAATGAATACAGCTTGTTAGTACTTTTTCTTTAAAATAATTAAATGAGAGGAATAAAATTTCTACTTTAATTATTTTTTGCAGAACTCTAAGACATTAAAATAACATACTTGTCTATCTAATATATCTTTTCGACAAGGTAATAATTGCTAACATTTTGGGAATACCTAACTAAATAAGAAAACAAACATTGCGCAAAAAGTTACTGACAAGCTTAACCTTGAACTCCTTGGAGCAATACTTAATAGAAGTAGCTTTATTTTGTCAAATTTTATGGTGACATGATTACTCTAACATTTATTTACTTTTTAACCTGCATTAATTATTATTTATTTTTTAAGACTTCTTTCTTTATTTTTAAAACATTGCATAAGAGAGCCAAGAAAAATAAACAAACTATCTTTTAGATTTGGCTTTCACATTAGATATATTTCTTTTTTTATGGTGAGAAGCTTAAGGATAGAAAAATAATGCTCTCAATTTTATTTGATATAATTATAATAAAGGCGTAAATACATTATAATTAGTAAAAATTACAGTTATTTTTAATTCTAAACTACGCCTTATTTATTATGTACCAAATATATTAATAAAGTAAATAAAAGTGATGTTAGGTCAGAGGGCTTAGTCGTTCTAGCAACAGCCAGTACTCTACAAACTGTATAAGCAGTATCCCTTGCCTGCCATTACCTACCCCTTTTTCTTATTCATTCTTCTATTAATTCTACTCTCAAATTTATTAATAACTCCTAAGGTTTCCAATGAAGGTAACATGTTACCGTTTACTACGTCTATGTGTTCTTCTTCGGTTATATAGACGTGAGTGTGTTTTGAAGTATATAATGATAATAATATTCAAACAGCGCAATAAAGGTACTAAATACTAAAATAATAACTGGTACGCCATAATGGCTTTTACAGGTACACAATCTAAGATTTCATCTTCGTATGTTTCCGTACTACAGTATGGGGTGGTATAACTATAACTATACAAACGGTAGGTATACACACGTTATCTTTAATGTAATGTAATAGTTTTCTGTGTGGTTTTATCATAATTTACTGTATTCTGTGGACTTATTGTTATTACAGAAAAAATCGGCTATCTGTAAAGTCGGTTTACTGACGATAGTTGAACGTGACAACGTCATAAGACACCACATTCACTTTTCACTGCACTTCATACTTGACGAAAACATGTAAATGTATTATTGTATAGCAGCTGTCCACGCGGACGCATCGCTCACTCAAGTAGGAGAGAGACAGATGTCGAACGCTACCGAACGCGGAGGCCGATTGTGCCTCTTTGTCACTTCCACTTGTGCCACTTCAAGCCTTAAATGGAACGCCTCAGAGCGAGGTAACGCCGCATGTGTCATGTTTTTTCGTGCGTGCAGCCGGCTCCATCGAATTATAAGACGTTGTCACGTCAAAAAAAGGGGATTTACGCAGAGTATCCTAGTAGACTTTGTGGGGGATCAATGCAAGTAAAACCCAATAAACGATGATATCGAAACACATTTGATATGGATATTTTATTTTAACACCTATGACATGTACAATTTAATAGTCAGTTGTTTTTACTTTATGACACATATAATATAGCTTGTAGACAGGCATATATAGTGGCTACGGAGGTGTGCAACTCCTTACGTTATCACACTCCTCTTCACAGCTCACGGAGCCAACCCTAGACTGCTTCGTAGTTTTTCAAGTCTCTAACCAGCGAGGGTTTGGTTAGCATGTCTGCCTCTATCTTCTCGGTTGGAAGATATCTAACCTTTATCTTTTCTTCTTGAATACAATTTCTAATGAAATGCATTTTTAGGTCAATATATTTGGATTTAGATGTCACCATATTATTCTGACTAAGTTTTAGGGCAGCTTGATTGTCATTCAATATGACTATGCTCTTATAACTGATCCCTACGCCTTTTAAAATACCTTTTAGGTTTATGGCTTCTTTTGCAGCTTCAGTCAGTGCAACGTATTCCGCCTCTGCGGTCGACAGGGCTACGCTTCTTTGCTTTTTAGACATCCAGCTTATGGCCGTTCCTGCAAATTTAAAGCAATATCCCGAAAAGGATTTTCGATCAATCTTATTTGATCCCCAATCTGCATCTGCCATGCCGTATAATTCTTTTCCAGTTTTGTGGAACACCAGACCAACACTCTGTGTACCTTTTAAGTAACGTAGTACTCTTTTCAGACATTTAAAATGTTCTTCATCACAGTAATCGTTGAACTGCGAAAGGTAGCTTATAGCAAACATTATGTCTGGTCGAGTTGCGACCGCTATATACATAAGAGTGTCAATTAAATTTTTGTACGTGAGGCTCTTTGTTTGATTTATTTCTTTTTTCTGTAAAGTAATGCCTAGTTCTATCGGTGTGGATACTGGCTTACAGTCCTCCATTCCATACATCTTGAGGGTATCTAATATTATACGTTCTTGGTACAATTTAATTGTATCTTGGCCGTAAGTAACATCAATGCCCAGTAATCGCTTCGGCTCGCCTAAATCTTTTAATTCGAACTTAGAGTTTAGCTGGGTCTTTATTTTTTGAAGTTCTGTAGGGCTAGAGTAGGCAATCAAAAAATCGTCAACGTAGATGGCTATAATTATTTTGGCTCCTCTTATCTCTAGTCTATATAGACATGGATCTGCCTCTGAGGGAATGAAACCAATATTTTTTAATTCTACGTCAAGTTTCTTATGCCACTGCCTCCCAGACTGCTTTAGTCCGTAAATTATTATTATTTATTATTATTGTTTATTAAACGACATACTTTGTCTTTGGGAGTACGTTTTATATCCCTTAACATTTCTTTTGTTTTATTGTAAACAGTCAGGTCATCATTTCTGCTTTCTTCGACTAATATTTCAGTCAAATACTCTTCTAAACATTCAGGATATTTCATAGCTATGTGCTCTTCCAATTCACCATTCAAGTACGCTGTTGTTACGTCTATTTGGTTTAATTTTAGATTTTCTTCCATAGCTATTCCAATGACAGATCTGATTGAGCTTAACTTAGCGACCGGAGCATAAGTTTCATGATAATCGATGCCTGGCCGTTGGGAGAAACCTCGTGCTACGAGTCTCGCCTTTTTCTTTATATTATTGTCTGGTCCTACTTTATTACGTAATACCATTCCTTCATTTTTTTATCTTTCTTTTCTATTTTCCAAGTACCGTTTTTCACGTGTGCTTTAATTTCATCTTTTATTGCATCGTGCCAGTAGTCATCATATTCATCTCCATCAGACAAGAGAGATATTTCAGATAATAAACTTTCTTCAGTATTATTTACAACAAAATCCTTTGTCCACGCTGGGGGGTGCCTGTTTCTTTGTGGCCTCCCATGAACAGGTGTTTCTTCATTTTCTGAGGCATCATTGAAAGAATCTTCTGAAGATTCATAGCTTTCAATGCTAATAGGGTTTTGTAAGTTACTATCATTTTTATTTTCTATGAATTCAATTTCTACTGGTTCATTATTTTTATTGTATTTATTTTTAGTTTTATTTACATTTTCAGGTAATGATGAACGTTGTTGATGTTCCTCTTTGTTTATGAGATTCTCATAGTGTTGAGTATTTTCTTCATAATGCATTTTATCTAAAACTTTTATATCCCTACTGATAACTATATCATCATCTTCAGTTATGTATACTCTGTAGGCTTTTGAGGTCATTGAGTATCCCACAAATACGCCTTTTTTAGTATTTTGACTTAATTTGCCTCGTTTATTCTTTTTCAAAACATACGTCTTCCTGCCAAAAACATAAAGATGATTACCTGATGGTGTTTTATTTATCCATTTTTTAAAAGGGATTTCACCTTTCAAAGTTTTAGAAGAGGTTCGATTGATCAAGTAGATGGCAGTAGCTATTGCTTCTGCCCATAGCTTTTTAGGAGCATTTGCTTCGATCAAGAGACATCTGGCTTCTTCCAACAATGATCTATTTTTCCTCTCACTAATCCCATTTTGTTGTGGAGTGTATACAGTTGTCAATCTTCTTTTAATGCCATGCAATTTTAGAAAATCGTCAAACTCTTTATTTCTGTATTCTGTACCGTTATCTGACTGTAGGTATTTTATTTTCTTATTGTGTAGCTTCTCAACTTCACTTTTGTATTCCTTGAAGTATGAAAGTACCTCATTCTTCCTTTTTAGGAAATATACTTGACAATAGCGTGTGTTATCATCTATAAAAGTAACATAATACCTCGATCCTGCCATCGTTTCACACTCAAATGGTCCACAGACGTCGCTATGTATTATTTCTAAAGCTTCTGTGGTGTAGAGTTCATCATGTCTTTCGAATAGTAATCTTGTAAATTTTCCTTTGATGCAGGTCTCACATATATCAAACTTTTCATTAGATAATTTTAAACCATACAAAATGTTGTCTTTTGCCATTTTGATCAAATCTCTTTCATTTATATGACCAAGTTTTCGATGCCATTTCATGATGTTATTTTTTGTTTTTGTAGTGTATTTAGCAGTAATAAATTCTTTTTCGTCAGATTCAATATAATATAGCCCATTTTTTCTTTGAGCTGTCAGTGTTATTTTACCATTATTTTCAATGACTGACTGCACGGATGGCGTAGTGGTTTAAGCGGTCGCCACGCCGCTTTCTACTACGCCGAGTGTTGTGGGTTCAAACCCCACATGGGACGACACTTTGTGTGATCCACAAATTGTTGTTCTGAGTCTGGGTGTTCTTTGTGTCAAAAAAAAAAAAAAAAAAAAAAAAAAAAAAAAAAAAAAAAAAAAAAAAAAAAAAAAAAAAAAAAAAGAATGACATATGCTTTATTCTTTTCGAATAAAACCTTGTGACCTTTTTCGGTTATTTTACCCACTGATTTTAGGTTCACTGATAAGTCTGGAACGTATAAGGTTTCAGTAAAATTATAAACTTCTTTCTCTATATTTATTTTTACTGTTCCTTTACCTTGAATTCCACTTGTGTATTTATTTTATGCCATTTTTAATGTGCCATTCTCAGCGGTTAAATTTAAAAACATTGACTCGTTGGCGCACATGTGCGATGAACAACCACTGTCAAGACACCAAATTATTTCATTTGAACTTGGGTATGCAGTACTTAGGCAAACATTATAAGTGTTTGATGCTTTACCTTTTTCCTTTTTAATTATGTTCTTCTTATTGCCCCAACACATCTCAGTAGAGTGACTTTTCTTTTTGCAATTGTTACAATACAATTTTTGTTTATTTTTCTTTGAATAGTATGCTTCCTTCTCAGGTTTATCATTACTATTTCGAGCTTGACATTCCTCAAGAATTTTGACTTTTAAGTCTTCTGGATCTGCCAATGTATCTCTGGATTCAATAGCTATCCTAAAATTCTCGAAAGTAGTCGGCAAACTGTACAGTAACATGATACTGAGTAATGCCGGTGGTATTTTTATATCCATGTCGGCAAGCTTGTCAACTATGTCCATGAAATTTTTTATATGATCATGGATGTCTTCACTAGCATTCATGCGTTTTAAGACAAGTTGTTTTAATAGAGTAGCTTTTCTAGCAGGCCCAGCACTTTGGTAAGTTGCTTTCAGTTTATCCCAAACAGCTTTTGCGGTGGAGCAGGCTTTTATTTGTATTAACTCCGATGGTGACAGTAAAAGCAAAATGTCCGCTCTTGCTTTTAGATCGTCTTTTTGAAAAACAAGTTTTTCTTCTGGAGTTGGTTTGGCAATAATTTTCTTTCGCGGCTGACGATGTCCCAATAGTCATTTTTGATCAGGACCGCCTGTGCTTGCATACACCAGGTATCGTAATTTCCCTTGTTCAGGAGTTCAATATTTCGATAACTCGATATACCTATTCATTTTGGACTTACCCACGGGTTATACTTACGCATAACCACGCTCTGCTACTAATTTGTGGGGGATCAGTGCAAGTAAAACCCAATAAACGATGATATCGAAACACATTTGATATGGATATTTTATTTTAACACCTATGACATGTACAATTTAATAGTCAGTTGTTTTTACTTTATGACACATATAATATAGCTTGTAGACAGGCTTACGTTATCACAGACTTTCTGTTTACAAAACTTCAAATATTTATTCGGAAGTTTTTGTAAACAGAAAGTCCCCTTGGGGATCAAAATGGATAAGAATTTCAAACAGCTTAGGCGGGGGATCGTAGTGGACGGAGGCAAAAATACTTAGAAGTAGAGAGTTAAAATGGTTTTATTGATAGATATAATTTATAATACTTCTAAGTACATAATATTTTAATTTTAAAATTATCCTATTGATGGTAGAAAAGATTCCTTGCTTTTCTTAGATTCTATTATCCTTCTGAAGGGATGAACGGGATTCGTACTGCAAGAAAAACATCAATTAGTAACATTATTAATTCACGTCTTTGCCCAGAACATGATCTTTAGTTTTCAGCTCTTTTACCAGAGATTAAGTTTGGCCATATCTCTCTGAGAATGCAGAGAGAGAATGGGTCAGCCGGGTGTAATACCCCGGCTTGTAAAATCTTACATCTTTATTACATAAATGCGTAATAAATATGAACTAGAGATCACCTAGCGGTCAAGTTTCAACAGTTCCTAATGTCTTGCTTTATTTGAAAACCAGTACAACTTGAACTGCTATTGCAGATACTTTTGAACCAAGACAAGTAAAAATATATACTGGACCTCTATAGAGTTATATAGCCTTTTTTTCACACTATAATTTATAACTTCTAGTTTTGTTTGTACTCATATTGTTTAAAATGGATAGCTTTGTGCGCTTATTTATATAGGTATAAACAAGTATTCCGACCAAATATGTAGCTGTAGGTATATAAATGCTTCTGTGCGCCATATTTGTGTAAACGGGTAGTTCTCTTTTTAAAACTAGGCTATTGATATTAGATCGAATCGAACATCACCAGTCCATAGATCGAAATGTTCGGTAACAAAAAAAAAATACACATAGGCATGACTATTGTTTTTAAGATTCTTATTTTAATTGATCCAGCATTTGTATTTTTGTATTAAGCAATTTTCTTGATTAGGAAAAATATAGAATATACCTGCATAATTTCCCTAGATTTTTAAATTTCTAAGCTATTGTATTGTAAGTGAAAGTAAAATGTAAGTGCCAAGTTTATATACATAACCTTCGCACGTTCAAATTTTATTATTTTTATAGATGCTTATTAGAGCAAGCGACCATGTTGACGTTGATTTTTTTAAATAGTCATGTCACGTGATTTAACTTAGAGCTGGAAATAAAAGATTACAAGAGGCCGTGTGTTTGTTTACCTTGATCTCCCCGTAGAACTTGCTAGTCTAGTCGTCATAACATCTTTAAAAAGTTGAGCTTTCTTTGTGAAAGGTTTGTCTTTATTTTCAATGGTCCTAAGTTCTGTATCCTGAAAATTCAAGTGACCATAAGACCTTTGCAATTGAAGTTCCATGTATCAGTTACCATAATGACAAAACGACACTATTTTAAGGCGATAATTTTATTGTGTTAATAAATTTAAATTTGTGAATATCAAAAGGTTTTTTTTTAAATTAGTGTTTAATTGTACAATACTAACTTGAATCTGAATGTTCATATGACTTAAAAACCAGGACAAAAATAAGCGAAACGTGATAACTTTTAGTGCTTCTTTTTTTTCATTTTATTTGACCAAAAGTTTTAGTTCAAAGTACTCGTAATGTGCAACTTATGCAAAGAATACAAAAGACTCCTACCAAGTAATTTTCATTATTTCTAATCTGGCAACTCAAGGCATGCCTGTAGTCCAATTGCTTTTCAAGTTCATCGTTAGCACTGTCCATCTTTCGCTGCAGTTCGTAAAATGCACTCCTTTTAACGCGTTCCATACGCTCCTTTCTATCTTGTTTTGCTCTTTCTAGTTCCATATTTCTGGTTTGTATATGCCTTTTATATTCTTCACCTGCTTTCTGAAAGTCCAAAAGTAATACTGTATGTATTAATAACCACTAATACCACACTGTTTCAGGCTTGTTTAGGTACCATTTATTTAATATTGGACTCTTACCTAGTGTTTTTATAAACCCTCTAATCGTCATAAGTACTACAGTAGTAATAGATCTTTATGTTGACTGATTTATGACTTATATACCTAATATATTTGTAAGAGTTTAACTAGCAACAGATAACAAATTTCTACTCGAATGACTGTCACCCAAACATGAGAAGATTTGTTGATCTACATTACTGAGGCAGTGGTCTATTTTTGTTAAATAAATACTTATGAGTAACGAACTGCTGCTATCATGAGAGCTATGGGTATTAAAAAGATAATGAAATAGAAGAGAAATGCATGTAACTACCTCTTTGCGTGTTCGCAACTCTTGTTCCATTCGTCTCTTTTGCTCATCATTTTTCTCTTGCTCGATTTGGCGCCATTCTTCTGCAATTTTGTCAGCTTCTTCTTCTAAAGCTGATGCCATTCTTCTTTCGCGATTAAAGTTCTCCACGCAGATTTGTTTTTCCATTTGGAGGCTTTTCTGTAATAAGAATGCTAGATTATTTTTGTCAGTAACATAAACCATACGATTGACGAGCGGCAGGTGAACCTATAGAATGGCTACATTATCTTCATTAAGTAAAATTGACACTTAAATAGTTGCAATAAAGAAGCTTATCGCTTCATTATTGAACGACGGAATGAATACTGTGTTTTTTTTTTGATATCGTGCGCTCGAACGTTAAACTTTCCGTTAATACCACACATGACTACTTTTGTAACACGCTTTGGAGAGTAAAACTAGGAGATGAGTTTCACAAAGTTCACATTATGAGCTTAGTTCGAATACTCAAAACTATCTGAACGCTTAGTTTCCTTGATATTTTCGTTTTAAGAGAGAATGTCTGTAGACTAATTGCAAATTGTGATGCGCCGCAGGCTTCCAAGCGTTCACGATTTTTTCTAATTGGCTTTTGACTTTTTGAAAAAGGAAAAATATCGTTTTAAATGCGATTACTCTGTTTCATTATACAGAAGGAAAACCACGAAGCTCATACGTCCTAGTGTGTTGTACTAAATAGCTTTAATTATTTAATGACGTTGATAAACACTCCCTCACTCCTCGCCACTATTTCCTTAAGAACTGTTTGTTTGGGAATAACTTCGGAGAGATAACTCTGATCATTCATTCGATCAGTGACAAAAATCTTACCATTTTTAATTTATTTCTCTCTCTTTCCCTTCTTAGGTCTTCTAGTGCAGCTCTTATAGTTTCATTATCTATTTGCCTTGCCTTAATCTTTTCATTTCTAAGCCTCGTCAGTTTGTTCTCGTACCCTTCGATGAAGTTCTTTTTGTTGCACATTTGTTGATCATTTTTCTTTTTGATTGCTAAAAAAGTGACATACAGTGAAACACATATGAATAAAATATTCTAATAAAACTACTATTGGCGTATTTCCCAATAGGTTCCACAGGGATATGTAAACCCCAGAAGACCCTACTGAGAAAAAGAGAAGGCTCCGTATATATACTAAGTATTTACCTTCATAATGGTCTAGCTCCATCTTCTTCTTTATCTTCTCCAGCTTAATATTCTCTTTTTCTAACTCTTGATGTATTAATTCTTGCCTTTTCTTATTAGCACTGGCTATTTGTTCGTCATAGCATCTTCTACGTTCGAGAGTCTCCTGTTGTCTTCTCTTAACATCCATACGTTCTTTGTGTTCCTAAAAAGCATGCGGAAGAGTTTGAAACCAGGTTAGAAGGGTCATAAAATGAGGTAAAGTATACAAGTCATTGTTTTTATACAGACGATCCGATGAGTTTAGTGCACGGAGTACGTGGTTTAGTGTATTAAAAATGACTCATAAATACTGTACTGCGGGTATTGTTTGTTATTGTAAGCACACAACGTACCTAACCTATTAGCTTTCCTTTCATATATGTAAAAATTATGTATGTGTACAAGTAGCGTAAGCAAAACATACTTATGTAGTCAGTCGAGAATAAACCCAGTTTACGTAAACACGTGAATACCTTTTATTTATTTATTCCAATAAGTTATAGGTATCACACACATACAATATTTCATAATGTTACAATCCACATTCATTTTGAATAATTTGTGTCAACATATGCTTACTTAAAATAATGAATCCACAAACTTAAAGTATGTTTTTTATGTAACAAGTGTGGGAAAAGAATTATATCCACCTAAAATCATTGTCATCGGGCCTGACTTCTCCACCAATTTCTGGGTGAAGATCTCTAAGGGCGGCAACGCATTTTTGCCTCTTACCATCAGCTGATCTGCCTGCTCGTTTGCCCCTATATATTTGTCTCTTTCTGACATGGTTTTATAAACTGAGTATCTAAACAACATAAATATTTCACACCTTTCTATGACAGTCCTCAAGCAGTACTTGATGCCACATTATATCAATTTCTTTTTCTTCCCTCTCTATACATTTTCTTTCTTCTATTTGCTTTTTTTGCATTTCTTTTAATCGTTTTTCGTCTTCTTTCGTACACATCATGCCTTTGGCACTAGAACAAAAATGCAATATGAGTGCTTCGTTTTTAAATAATATTTTATTGGACAATAAATAAAAAAAACAAGGTTGGAAGTTGTATTAGACAGGGGTCTAGATCGTTACGGTAAATTAGTACCTATATAGAAAATCACCCTCTGTCTCTTTCTCTCATGGTTATGTCATACAGAAACAAACATAAAAATTAACTTTACTTAGCCTTTCAACTTGATTTTAGTTTAATTAAGTAATACTTTTGTGTTGGCGATGTGCCAGCAATGGACGTCGTATGAAGCTTTGGTAACAGAATATTAGGTACTTCATAAAATAATTTCACTTTGGACTCAAAGTTTGCAAGAGACTTTGTTCCACTCAACACCATTTGAATCGTGTATTTAGAATTTAAGATGATTCAAAAATGAAAAAGTAAGATTTATTTATGGCCCGCAACAAACGAGAAAACGAGTCATCATCCTAATCGATTCTAGAGGTCAAGTTATTTGAGTTCTTTAAGTTTTTCAGTCTCAAGCAGAAGAAAAGAATAAAACAATATTTATATAATTGTCAATAGCTATTTAAAACACTATTTCATAAAAGTTGATCGTTACATTTACACATCTTATTTGAAAGTTTTGTTAGTAAATATTTTTAACTTAGATTTTGTTATTATCGCTGTTGACGTCGTTTGTTTAAAGTTCAAGCCTATGGTAGTACATGTAAACTACTTTATAAAATTCTACTGTCAGATATACAGCCAATATTTATTTCAATTTTTGATTTGTCATAACTTTTTTTTTTCTTCGAAAATACAGCTTAGGGTTATATCCTGTATCACGGGGGACTTTACAAACATACATGAAAGGGACACAAAGAACACCCAGATTCAGAATAACAATTTGTGGATCACACAAAGTGTCGTCCCATGTGGGGATCGGACCCACAACACTCATCGTAGTAAAAAGCGGCGTGGCTACCTCTTAAACCACTACGCCACCCGTTAACTTGCTTTATTAAATGGCACTTGTTTAATATATTTTTTAAAGATGTTGCTAATGACAGATTGTTTAATTCAATGTAATGAAAGGCTAATCATGAAATGTGTTTTTTTAATATATCCGAATGGGACATGGGAGTATACAAGTGCTATCATAACCCTGGGTGCACTATAACATATGAAAGATGAATTAGTAAGCATTAAGGTGTCCTTACATTTTCTCCCGCTCAAAAGCTTTCTGACACTCTCTAATCTTTTCATTCTCAATCTCTTCTATATAACTTTCTGCTTTCTTTTCTTTTTCTTTACAATATCCACATTCTTCCATTGTCTGTTTTATAGCCACGTCCTGTAATAAAGCCTCTTCTTCTTCTTGTAGAAAATGTTTTAGTTTTTGTCTTCTGTGTCAAAGTTTATTTTCTTCCTGGACTAATTTTTCTTCTACTTTCTCTGCTGTTCTGTTGATAACAAATCTGAAAATATTTATGGGCCTTTATAAATGTAGTGTTTTTTTTTGCATAAGCTCTTCACAGCCAAAGCAGCCTTAAGGTAAAAATATTGCTTACTGAAAATTGGCAAATCAAATCATAAAAGTTGTTTAAAACGCATACCAGATATAAATGTGAAAAACAAGAAATAAGAACAGCAGTTATTTGAAAGTGCTTTATTCCCAAGGCTCTCTTTTGAAAATGAGTCTTGAAAACTTGAGTGTGATTATTTAATTCTACTAAAGAGTTTTAAGGAGCCTCATAGATGAGAATAAACGCCTATCATATTATCATCGCCTACTGAATCTAGCTTGTTAAGATAGTCCTCCTCATAGACGACACGTCATGCGATATGTTGTATAAAGAAATTCTATGTCCATGCAATTTACTTCCTATCGGATTTCTCTGCCAATTAGCCGGGGCTGGTCTTGATTATTATAACTCTGTCTTTATTTCATGCCGAGTAACAAAATTTACAGAAATATATCTCACTTTTGTAAATGTACCAGATCATAATTAACAATATCTGACATCTTCTTCATATCTTCTACGTCCACTGTCGCCTTCATTTCGAGCCTCTGACGTTCCTATTAAAATAATATAATTTAATTACATTCCATAAATTTATTGCAATTGCAACCAATTTGAGTGAAGTTGGAAAAGGTTAGCAAAAGACAGATAGACGAAACTCTTTAGCATCCGATCTTCCAAAGATTTATAAAGTACTATGATATTGTCTTAAATATAGTAAAAAGTCAAATACTATGATGATGCTGTTGTCTTACTTGTGAAACCCTGTAATTGGCTTTCTGTTACCTATTGTTTTGGGTAAAGTTGTGACTCATAGCTGTTGATTTTCCCTTAATAAAATAGATAAATAAATAAATTTAGTTTAACCGGCATTAATTCGGTATAAATAGGCAATAGTTCCAGTTGACGTCCCTGTCCTAGTAGCCTCTTCAATTATAAAAAGGACATACGGCACATATTATATTTGCGATCCCGGCCTTTGCAGCCTTGCACTCTTGCTCCCTCGCCTTATCCGTTTACCTTACCCTAATTAATTTTTTTTTGTTCCATCTGAAAACATTTGTATTTTCGAGGAGGGCTGGAATTAGGCAGTTGGGCAGTCATAAAAGAAACCTGCCAAAAGTCATTGCAATGTTACACGTTGTGCCGACCACAAATAAAACTTGGAAAAGAGCAGTCAAATGATAAAATTATACCTGACTTTATCTATAGCAGTTCTTATAAATAAATAAGCAATGAAACACGAATATAACTAACACTAACTAAGCTGTGCTGAGGTCTAGGGTTGGATTCCTGGATCGGACCAAATGTTTCTATGATCTGCAAATATTTGTTTCGGAGTTTGGGTGTAATATGTAAACTGTATATTTACAAAAAAAGAGTATATAAGTATTCTATCAGTTAATCTAGATTTTATAGTACGAGCTCTGATTAGTCTGAAAATATTATTATTATTGATTCAAAAAATCCACATTATAAACATTAACAATAGAAGTGTATATTATATTAATTATAATTTAACTATATTATTATTCGAGGTAGTAAATAAATGGGATAGTAGGGAGGCAGTGACAATTTGGCTCATTAGTGCTGTTTAATCAATGCTTGGATTTCGTGTCAACGGTGTTCGTGTCAAGATTATCCAGTCAGTCAATATCGTATCGGGGTTGACTAAATAAATAACCCTCAACTGTCCCCATAAATATACCTAATACGATACATTAGGTATACCAAGTACAAGTTGTATTACTGAAAGTTGGCATTTCATTTTCGTTTTATTTATTTAATTTACATTTTGATGTCACGAAAATGTAATATTTTATTACTTTGAAACTCGACCCTGTCTTTTGTTTATTGAAAACTATACTTTTGAGAACATAATGTTGCTAATTTTATTTCTTTTTTTAGACTAAGTCGAAATATTTCTTTCTAGGTGAAAATAATTCCTTTGGAATGTCGACGAATCATTTTAAAGAAAAAAAATCTGGAATTTTATGTTGCTATGCGCAAAAAATGATGAAAATAAACATTCTACCTAATAAATTTTCAACGTAGGTACACATTTAGATATTTCTTTGAGAGATTAATATTTGACCTGACCGTTTCTGCAGATTTTTGCGAACGTCTTTTGTGGATAATCATTAACTAAAACGCTTGGACTTCTAAATAGAAGTCGTTTTAGTTTAAATTTTAAATTCAAATCAAATCAAATTCAAATCAAATTTTAAAGATCCATTTGGATCTTTAAAATTTGCTTGACGAAGATAGTTCAAGGAATACCTTATTCAAATCAAAAGATGAAAGACAAAACCTGAGATTTTTTTTAAGTTACTTATATTCTCAACTTTTGACTTTGAACTTTCGATTTTTACGTAATAAGATAAGTAATTATATTTATTTTGATCAACCAAAAACATTGAACAAAACCACGTGGCAAAACGTTGAAATACAGAAAAGCGGACTTACTTTCCAAAACTGGAACGGATGACCAAAGTAGACGGGTAATTGTTTCTTTTTTAATTTAGCCACAACCATGGTTGGAACTAGAGTATCTTTTGTGATGTACAACGTTGTTCAGACGATGTCGAGAATGACATAAATAGTGACTGAACTGTATCGATTTAACTTGTTGCTCGGGTGACTAATAACAGGGGTACTACACAGAGTTAGCGTTACTAAAAGAGACATTGGAAATGGTTTTTGCTGTAATAGTTAGGACCTATGTGGTGTGATTGTTTTTGCAACTTGTAAAATTAATAGTAATATACCTCACACATCTCACCCACGGCCGTCTGATTTCAAACTAGGCAGAGCCTGTACTATAGTAACCAGACTGCTGATAAAGATACTTATATATGTTTAAATACACAAATGTTATAGATAACTTACACCCACACACAGAACAAATGACCGTGCTCATCATACAATATTTGTCCTGGGTGGGAATTGAACCCACGACCTCCGGCTTAGCGGTCAGGGTCACCAACCACTAGACCAGCAGGCCCGTCGGGATATCAAGAAAGGGTATTTTATATTTATTACGTTTGTACATTACACGGTTTATTCGTTAAATGTGATGTACAAGATTATTAGGATAACTGATAGAAACTCTTCCCGAAAAGTTTGGGTTTGATGATCCATCCTCTCTTTCAAATGAGTCAGCTCGACCGGAATAATACATATGCCGGAATAATATCGTTTTTTTGCTCACTCACTCAGTGCTGAAAGTTGCTTTTCAATGTTTGAGTGAGCTTACCGAAGTTCTAAACCTGCTGCTAACATCAAACAATTACTCACGCACGACTTATACTAAGTCCATAAATAAACTTATTTTTAGATTCAAACGACTGAGTAATGTGTTCGTGAGTTATGAAATGTAATTGGACGGTCTGGCTGTTTCGTCGCTATTGTTGTAGAATGAACACGTTACTTGAAGACATTAAAATACTAGAATGTTCCTTCTGATTTAAAAAAAAAATTGTGGTAGAGGAGGCAAGCGAGCAGACGGGTCACCAACAAAATCAATCAAAATTATTTTTATCAAAGAATACGACCTCTTTTAACATTGATTTAGACCTTTCGCGAGACTGGATAAGTCACACTAGTTTTGTAAATGAGTCACAGGTGTGATTATATGCTTCTGAAATCATATTATTTATAACAGGTGATTATGATTTTATTCCATCCCTAGGTCTGAGGTAACAAACGTAAAACAAATACCGAATTGCGAACCTTCTAACTTTTCATAGGCAGTTAAAACAGTGTCAATATGGTTTATTTGAATACCTTATAAAATTTTCATTAAACGGACATGCATTTTTCTTTTGCCATATAGCAATTCAACCATTTCGTTTCGTTCGCATTCCTAATTCGTTTAGAACCATGCAACACACCAGTTGCACGGTAGGTTTTAGTGAACAATAAAGCCTGTATCCAACACTTTATACGTCACTCATGCTTAACTGACGTAATTTGACCAGCGCTCATATCCTGGTGGGCGCGTTGGAGCAGATTAATGTCATTGTCCCCTCCTCCAGAAAATTCGTTGAGAGTTTATGTTTACCCTGTGTTTACAGAAAAAAACGAAAAGTACGAAAAGAATGAGCATTTTAATACTCAGTATTTAAATATTTGTTGTGTAAGTATTGTTATTAGCAATAGCAATAATAATAATTACACAAGTTAATTATTGGTAAAATTAAAAACCCGTCTGCTAAAGTTTGTGAGTCACTCACAAACTTATTAAACTATATTTTATAATATCTTTTTTAGCATATGTTAATCCAAATTACATTTGAATTTAGAAGTTGTATTACTTTTGTAAGGCGTTTATGAAACCCTTTATTTTGGTATCCTACTCAATAGATTTTAAAGAAAATTAAATTTTGAAAGAACATAATTTGGCGCCCAAAATCTATTTACTTTTTAAAAATATAACCCTCTTGGTAGTCCAATAAAAACTGGTTGTACTAAGTTTGCAAGTTAAAGTAGTGACTTTACAGTGGACGTACGTGCTAGGGATTATTCAAGATTATTCTGGGCTTACAATAGTTTATGTATAAGAACACATTAATTCATTTTTATTATTCCAAAGTGTCACAAACTTAAATTTATTGTTCAAGTTCATATAAAATACCAGGTTTCTATGGGGACTCCGTAGCAGGGTGCTACGACGCTACGTTGTAGCAGCGACACCCGTAAATCAACCAATTTAATGTATGAATGTGATATGTAATTTTATTTATGGTAAATTACTTGTATACTAATACAATATATTATTTGATAAAGAAAAACATATAATTGATTTTTGACAGGTGACATAGATTTAAGGGAACATGGGGGTCCCTCACAGGAGGGGGTCATCTACACGCCGTAGATGGCCGAGGTACGTCGGCGTACCAGGGATTTCCTTTCTAGGGTACACTTGCTTCCCCGGCAACTGGTAATCGATATGGCGTGCGGTTTTTGGTCGGTTCGATTCTGACATACCGGTCCGCCCCAACGGTGGGTGAGGATTTTCGCACAGAAAAATAAAGTAACATAGCTTTACATAAATTAAAAAACAAACTAGAGATATATATATATATATATATAAAAGCCGTGTGGTGTCGTGGGACACCCGATAGGAACGACGGATGGCGTAGTGGTTTAAGCGGTCGCCACGCCGCTTCCTACTACGCCGAGTGTTGTGGGTTCAAACCCCACATGGAACGACACTTTGTGTGATCCACAAATTGTTGTTCTGAGTCTGGGTGTTCTTTGTGTCCGTTTCATGTATGTTTGTAAAGTCCCCCGCGACACAGGATTTATTCCTAATGCGGGTGTTGTCTTTTAAAAAAAAAAAAAAAAAAAAAAAAAAAAAAAAAAAAAAAAAAAAAAAAAAAAAAAGAAGTTGTGACGATCGAGTAAAACTGATTCGATACGATTTTAATTACAACGCCATCTATGAAAGCGGCTATTACCTACATATTTTTCAGTTGGTTTCTCGTTTCATCTATTCGATAGATGGCGGTGAATGACTGACAAGTGACAATTCAAAATAAATACTGAGATGAAAAGTAATGATTTCCTATCTATTCGATAGATGGCGCTAAATGACTGACATAAAAAGTGTCGTTACAACCTTTCATGAGATTTTTTTCCGTCTAGCCCTCTTTCACAACGCGCGTTAAGGAACTTCGTTCTAATAATCTTTACTTTTATTATATTTATAGATTTATCTCACTCCATTCTCCAAACTTTGGAAGGATTTGGGAGGCCGGGGTGAAGTCAACCAAATTTCACGTCCAAAGAATAATTGGTACGAGTACACTTACATTTGAGGAACTGAGTACAGTGCTGGCTTAAATAGATGCCTGCTTAAACTCTAGACCTATTTCCGCTATCAGAACTCATCCTGATGATCCATACCCATTGACACCGGGTCATTTTGTGATGGGAAAACTCTTATCTCAGCTCATTAAAACGCTGGCAATTGACTCAACGCCTAGTTCAAGGCTTCTGGCGCAAGTGGTTTCGTGAATACCTTGTACAATTTCGTCAGAGGCACAAATGGACACATCAATCCGTGGAACCTTAGGGGGATGACGTGGTGTTAATAAAAGAGGACGATTTGCCTCCCCTCGGTGTCTCGGTCTCATAGTAAAGAAACATGCTGGCTCGGACAAGATCACGAAGGTCATTTCCCTACGCTGCAAGGGGTCTATAATAAATATACCTGTATCTAAATTAATTGTGTTGCCTGTTACCACTTAAATATTTTAATATTATTGCTTATTAACTATAACTTATTATATAAGTTTAGTTATTTCATAAGTCTGTTCATGGTGGGCGGTATGTTCAAGCCAATGCCAAGTCCAAGTTAGTTTGTACACGCGCTAGATGGCGTTGTTAAATGTTTGTCAATTTCTAAATTGCGCTATTAAGATTTATAACGATGTATAACAAGTCACCAATATTATTAAATAATTTAAGTACTCTTTCTGATTGTTTTAATCAATCTCCTGCGGTTCAGTAAGTAATAAATTATATTATAATAAACAAGCTGTAGCCTGCTACGCTTCGCTGTGGTACATTGTGGTTGCAATGACAAGAATTGACGAACAATCTTTGAAGCTGGTATATGGTATCAAAATTTGAGCTCAATCGATGCAGAACTTTTTGAGTTTTTACACAAACCAACTTAACATTTATATACATATATAGATTAAATTACATGTTTTTAAATTTTACAGCAAGCGCTATGTATCCCTTTTATTACTGAGGGATGGTAAGTGAGTTTATGGGATAAGTACAAAATGTCTCGTAATTTTAATAGCTTACAAAGCTCATTAGATACTTTGTTGCATTATTAACATCACGATAGGGCACGCACCTTTAATCTTGAGCACTCTGACCGTCAAATTCTTTGCCTCAATAGGAGATTTTTTAGGGTGATAACCAAACAAATTACTGTTCTGATAATAACGAATATTTTTTTGCCTTCTATGATATACTTATAAAGAATAAATGGTTTTACTCAAGTACATTTTTTTTTTGGAGTTAGACATTTCTTGTTTTACAATTTGTGTATGGCTGCTAATTAGAGAGACTCGAGGAAAACAATAAAATAGGAAAAACAAAGTTACGGAATTTATACACAAACCTCCATGATTTATTTCTGTGAATTTTTCGAATATGTGTGTGTGTACGTGAATGTGATTGAATCGATGTATGTGTGATTGGATGTGTGGGAGAGGGGTTTAATGGTTTTAGCATTTTAAGTAACCATAAATAAATAAAATAAAATGCACGAGCATGTGTAGTTTGTTAGGGCTAAGGTAAATTGTATGTATTTTTTTACCATTTACGTATTATTGCTTTACACTTGGATTTATAATTTTCTATACCGGATTTTCAAGGACTGAAGTGAGAAGGGAGATTTAGGATACGGAAACCTAACAAAAAAAACACCACTCTGTGCAAAGTAAAGCAAAGAGTAAAGTCTGTGCAAAGTCTTAAAATGATATACTTATGTCTATAAATAAGTTATTAAA